GAGGTATATCAACACGGTTAGACGTATGTTAAATGGAACTTCGCGAAATTGTAAATACGAACTAAATAAATATATTTTTGTGTGCCATCGAGGCTGTATTAATTTACATGTTAGACAGACAGCTTGATATCAGTATGAATGTTCTTCCTGCCATCAGATGACTTCATATCTTAATTATATGTAGATATATGTGTTTCGTGTAAAGTCCGATACTCTCTAAATAATTAAAAACTAATTTGTGCTTGTTCAACAAATGTTATTGTACATTAAACTGTGATTCATTATTTTATTTTGTTGTTCTTATTTTTCCCTTTTTTGAGTGAATTTTGTTGGTCAACTTAGTTGGTCAAATCCCTTATCCCTAAAAAATCAGCAACGCACTCATACTCCTCCATTGCGGGTGTCCATGGGTGGCGCTGATTGCTTACCATCAGGTAATCCGTCTGCTCGTTTGCCGACCTATTACAAAAAAAAGCTGATTGATTCCGTAGGGGGAGTATTCCTCATATACTATAAAGGTTAATCTTATGCTTTAGGAGACAAACTCATCAAATGCAGGATGAGGCGAGGGTTCGCCAGCTTAAGGCCAAGACTGCGGTACTTTATGCCGCTTGCCCCGCAACCCAAACTAAACATCGGCTCTGTAGGCCCCCATCCGTAGTGGAAACATTTGAAACCTCTGTTGCAATGTGCTTATGTTACTGAACCAGATTCAGGCATCAGGGTTTTGTTGATCGAGGGATATCACCGGCCACCGTAAGCGTGGGTCTGCGGACGACGAGTAAGGGTGGCTCGCCGCCCGATCAAAACTAGACCCTAGCGTACTATGCGTTGGCTCGCTTGCTTGAAGAGCCAATAGACCACCACGGACGGGGCTCCATAGGACTGATATTTAGCCTGGGTTGCGGGGTACAATAAGGTCTCGTTTACGTAGACGCGGGGCGTTGAGTGGCGCGTATTTCGTTTGTCGTAAATTACAGGATCAAAATTGTGTCAACGGCCGTGCAAACACGAACATATGAACATCACGAGCAATGTATGATGAACCGCACATCGCACTGCTTAAACATAAATCTCCCTCCCGCCGCACCCCGGGAAGCCATTTGATGATTTTGCCCACATAAAAAAGGACTTAGTTGTTTTGGATAGCAAGTTGGTAAACAACATTCTTTCAACAAATTTAATGTATTTCAAAAACTAAGGCGTAGCTAAAAAAAATCTAGATTCTCTGAAGCTCCTGTGTATGCTGTAAGGTTATTTTCTAATTTTAATGGACAGGGTTTGAGTGACCTTGGGGAAGTGGACCCATTTATAAACCTCCGACCATCGAAGACGTCACAATCATTGAAAGCTTAGCTACATAACCTCTTACGACATCTGTTGAATGAACAGGAGTGGTCAGAAATTTATTCTTACTTACTACTTAAAGTTTGATATGATGTGTGAATATCCTTACCCACATCCCCAATCTGCAAATCCCAATATGCCGATAGAATACTTTCAAGTCCTCCGCGCGTGTCAATTATCGACGTCGATTAGGGCAAAAGAAGATTAACACCCGGTTTCCGAAAGGCCGATCAATGTTAAAATCAATTTAATCTCTTGTTGCTGATAATTCAGTCAACCAATCAGATGACTTGACAAGAGATTTTTTTTTTTTTTTTTTTTTTTTTTTTTTTTTTTTTTTTTTTATTGGGTAGAGACAACAAACAACTACATTATAAATAGTGTACACAGGCATTATAAACAAAACTTGATGTAACAATGCAGCCCACAACGTTATCCACAAATTAACAGAAGATTATAAACATGGCAAATAATACAACTTAAGCTAAAGATACAAAACCATTACTAGACCTCTCTTATAAATAACACTGGTGATAAACTACTTATTTAAAATTATTATTATTAATTATTGATTTATAAGTAAGACTCTTGAACTGGCCCATGGAACAATTAAAGATGTCAATATGTTCAAAGTTATTATTATAATTAACAACCATACGGCGGACGGGGGAGCGGAGACCTGTGTTTGTTCGGGATCGACCCACTGCAAAAAGTTTACCGGCACACACCCGTCGCCTATGTACGGTTCTTGGCACTAGGTAACATAGCATATTGCTCAGATCTATACAATTGAATTTACTTGTGACAATTTTAAAGAGATTCATGGATTCTAGATACTTCCTCCTGGAACTTAGTGTTAGTAACTTATACTTGCTAATTAGCCGGTTATAAGGTAAATAGTAACCGTAACATCTATAGTGCATTCCACGCAAGAATTTACGTTGAACATTCTCAATCATATCCACGTATTTGTTATAAAAGGGATCCCATACAGATACAGCATACTCCAACTGAGAGCGAACCAAGGCCTTATACAAACAGAGATATGATGAGACCCTTTTAAAGTCTTGGGTCGATCTCATTATGAATCCATAGAGCTGATACGCTTTATTAACAATTTTTTCAATATGCAAGTCAAGATGAAGCTTATGATCAAGTGTTATTCCCAGGTCCCTAATAGAAATTACTTTTTGAAGTGACGCGTGACAAAGATTATAAGCGTAGCTGACGACGTGCTTATTTTTGGTAAAATTTAAATAATTACATTTAGGTAAACTCAGTTGCAATTTATTATCACAGCAATAGACCGTAAACCTGTCCAAGTCTTGTTGAAATAGGAGGCAGTCATTAATATTAGCAATGGCTTTATATATTTTGAGATCGTCTGCGTATAAAAGGTACTTAGTGTTCTGAAAGCATTCGCCAATATCATTTATAAAAATATTAAATAGAGAATTTAACAGGCGATTAGTTAATTTTAGCGTTGACAAGCCTTTCAGAAACCGGGTGTTAGTTTTGAGTGAGAAAATATAGTGAGACACCTTTCATCATTATTTTGCTCCTATGTACAAATGCGCCAAACTCAAAAAGATCCGACAGATTATTTGTAGTTTTCACCAATAGTTTAGTTTTTAATTCCACCTCAAACATGGAACGGGAAATAAATAAAACAACAGTTCATTATATATTAATTTAATAACATAATACTTTAGTACAAATCAAAGTTCAACAACTTAGGAATGTGTGATTTTTAAATATAATTTACAAAATGTTCCCTTTAACTATTTTGGTTTGTATTTGGTATACATTGAAATATACCTAATACCATTATATTTATTATATTTATTATTGCAGTAACTCTTTACCATCCTGCCCTATCATATCATATATCCATATGCCCCCAAAATCCAGCAAGATGAAAATAAATTAGTAACAAATTCACAATTATGATTCTTGATAATGATTTGCAATTGACATCTATGGGGACAGGCTTTAGCAGTGTTTGAGATTAATTAAAAAGCAACACGAGTGATTTGAACTGAAAAAAAAAGTTATTAATAATATCATTGATCTTGAGTTTTACATTTTAATTAAATCAGATCACTTGAGGTTGAAGCAGAATCAATAATAATAAGAAATGAATTCAACGTATAAACTGACATTACGGACTTCATTCATATCAGATCAGATGTTCCAGTAAACTTCGCAAAGCCTTACTTGGCCACAGGTAGAAAGAAGGAAATACTAAAAGGAATATTTTTTCTATTACATCCTTGTGGTAGGTACGTTTGTTCACGCAAAAAATACCAAATTTTTGAACCTCCTAGTTTTGTTTTATGGAATAGGAAGCAAACGAGCAGTCGAATCATCTGCTGGTAAGTGATCGGCGCCGCTCATGGACACCTGTTTACTTTAGTGTTACACCACTCTTGGGCTAAGTGGGCCACCAACATAAAATCTCCGAACATAATCTAGAGACTTTGACTGCACGGTTGGTGCGGTGGCTGGGCAACTGGCTGCCGTGCAACGTGATCCACAAATTGTTGTTCCGGGTCTGGGTGTTATGTGTATGTTAAATTGTATGACACCGCACCCACGACACAGGAGAAAATCCTAATGTGGGACAACGTTTTTAAAAAAAGAAAGAAAAGGAGGATTTTGAAAAAAGAAACTGGCTTGCTCAGACGAGCTTTTCTATTCAGACCCGTATACTTATGTTAAAATTTAAACCGAATTAAAAAAAGGTCTTTAAAAAAAGTGAGGAAGAGAAACATATTTTTTTATAGTTTGCTAAAACTATGAAATCGCGAAAGTGCCGACATATTTAGGCTACGATAGTTGTGTAGTTTTTAGGTCAAAAATATAATATTTTGATTTTCCTACACTATGGAATATTTAAAAAGAAACATAGGTACTTTAATACATTGATTAGACGACTTAATCTTAGTTGTTTTCTAGCTATTTTTAGATATAAGTATACCAACAATGAAACTACGCGTGTCATAAAAAAATCGAAAATGTTTTGTTTTTCACATTTCAATAAAGATATTGAATTGGATTAGTTAGAAAATTACCGTGTTGCCTTTCCATGAGAGCCGAAATCTTGTTTCTTATAATTAATTAGTGTTTACTTAATTATATATATTTTTCATAATCTAATAGAAAATGAACTAAAACTGTACGAGAATAAAGTGTTATTTCGAGTGGCCTTTGATTATTTTCCTATTTTATAAAACAAGCTAAATTTCTCTACACGTTTGTGACACGATAGACGGACTAAAATAGTTGTGGTAACAACCCTGCTACATGGTATAAAATAGCTAGAATAGAAGAGTTAATATCAATCTGTTATAAGCTTATGTTAATTCTGTACATAATTCAGATTATTACGTACTTACAAGTGCCAAGCTTCATTAAAAATTGTTCAGTAGTTTCGTATGATAAACCGCTCTCTGCAAACGCTCAAGAAAGACTCGAATACCGCTATCATGCTGAGTCATGCTTAACATTTGGTTTCGTTCACATAAACCGGCTTTTTTAAACCGATATTTTGGAACAGTAGTTACATAAAGCTTTTTTCGGGTTACACGGTTTAGAGCAATAGGTAAAAACCGGTTATTACGGACGCACCGCATACATTCTATTAGTCCGCCTTCTACTCATGTTAACCATAAATAATTCGCTCATCGAATAAACCGATTAATTTATGTGAAAATCATGTTTTTAAAATGTTCACGTTCATAAGAAAAGTTCGGTTTAAACCGGTTCCGAGCCATCATTTAAGGGCTGATTTTTCAATTGTCAGATAAATGTTTTCTGAGGAATAAAAGTGTTGTTGTCTCTGTCTTATACAAACATTCTGACGCGACAGCATCATACTTATTCCCTAGGTAACTTTTGTCTAACCTTTGAAAATCAGCCCTAAATTGGACGTAGGGTTATTTTATTCCTGTATGTTGGAATAGAGGTGGTCCCAATGCGAAGGACATTGAAGGAAATATTTCCTAGCAGCGCTGCAGAATCGACTCTTGTACTGTTCCGGGGACACAACAGTCGGCTGACCAGACCCGAGGTTCTTTTTCACCAAATGCTCGAGTTTCTTGTCCCACGTAAATGTCCTTATATAATCTGGAAAGGAAAAATATTGATTAAATGTTTCCAACACAAGGATTTTTTTATGCGTAGTGGGTGCGTTTACAAACAGTTTCCATATTTACATCACATTTGGACCCTGAAACCGGATATTAGCCAGAATATTCCTAATGCTCAATAAAACTCTCTATATAAGAATGTTTTGCAGTAATCACCACACTTGGCGAGCAACATTGTGATTAAAGATATATCACAGAAAGTTAAAGGATAATCAGTATCCTGTCTGTCGATGGTTGGTTTTAGGACATTGGCGAGCATAAAATATATTCGTGTATTATACTTATACAACTTAGGTGCGGAAGAGTCAAGCTTCGGCACGAATGGGTCGGCTCGACCGAAATGATACCACGGCCTTACAGAAAACCGGTGTGAAACAACCACAGCGTCGTGTTTCGCCATAAGAGTGAGGTTACCGAAAGCCAAATTCCACCCCTCCCCCTTATCCTTCCAAATCCTTAAATGTCCGAAACCCTTATCTGTAACCCCCTTTCCATTGCCGGCCTCTTGGGGGTTATTGTAGCTATCCATCATAGAATATAGAATTTTGATAAATAAAAAAATAAAAATGAATCGCAAAATGTCTGCCAATTCTTTTTTTGTGTTTGTTATTGTTAGGAGAAAGTTCTTATGAAAGAAAATTTTAGAAATGTAAAGGGGATATCTGATAAGGGATAAAGGGCTCACTTTCGTCGCTAGCGAGATAGTTGGAGACCCGTGCGAAGCAGAGGCGGGCCGCTAGTATATACAGACATAAAACTAGCTACTGACCGCGCTTTCACCCGCTGCTCGACTCCTTAATATCGTAGCCTTCCTCGATAAATGGACGATCCAACACAAAAAGTTCAATTCGAACTAGCAGTTTCGGTGATTAGCGCGTTCAAAGAAACAAGTACTACAGCTTTTTAATATTAGTAAAGATATAAAGTAATGGCTTACCGATGATGCCAAGCACTAGCGTGTGGTTGTCTATGCCAAGCAGTAAGGAGTAGTCCATGACGGTGTGAGAGGAGAGGAACTCTGTGTCTCGCTCTATCGCCGCAAACAGCATCCGAGCGGTGTGAGACTGGACGTACAGGGGATTCTCCCAGCGCACTGTCGTAATAAAAGATAATATAAAAGTAAAGTTGTTATTTACATTTTTTTGTCTTTTTTTAATATGCGATAGCAATAATGAATATTGCGTGGGCGAGCCACACATTGGCGCGACTGGGCCGGCTCGATAGGAGCGATAACACGGCCTCGCATAATACAAATTGCGTTGTTTCCTCGTGTGGTTATAACTATGAAGTAATTTAACATTAATAAATGCCTCTAATAGGGTTTTGTATTAATCCCCATGCTTGGCAAACATACTGGGGGTTTATGGTTTGATCTAACACGTTTCATACGTGTGAGAGAGAGGCTTCTCTGTAAAAAAGTGGTTTGTCTTAATCCCCACATTTGGCAAACGAACTGGGGATTATAGTGAGATATGAAAAAGTGTAGAATATGCTATATACGTACGGTTGAGTAGGTTTTCATCCATGAGTACCGCAAGGGGCGTGGTGTCGGGAGTGAGTCGGTGGCGGGAGGATCCCTTCAGGTCGAACCGAGTGGCGCGGGGCGCCGCCCCATACCAGACGTTCTCCAGTACCAACACGCCCGACCCCGCGCCTCCCACGCCGAACACGCCCAGGATGCGTGCTGGTGTCATTACAACTTACATTAATTACATTACCTAAACGCAGATTATTGAAATAAAACAGCATAAATTAAATAAATTACATTCGATTGCACGGTTGGCGCAGTAGCTAGGCAACTGGCTGCCGTGCAACGTGTCGCGGGTTCAACTCCCGCACGGAACAACTCTTTGTGTGATGCACAAATTATTGTTTCGGGTCTGGGTGTGATATGTGAAATTGTATGTTTGTAAACGTACCCACGACGCGGGAGAAAATCCTAGTGTGGGGCAGCGTTTTTTTTTAATGAAAATCATATTTTTTTTATGTCAATATTGGAGATGAGCATTAATATTGGATGGCGCAACTATACCACAACTTCGGCTCAGAGTAGGAGAATGAACGGGACGGTGTATAGTCAGCAAGATCCTGACACCCGAACCCTGGGCGAGAGTAGACACCTGATGACTTTGCCCCTCAAATAAAGATTATGAAAGTTTAATTTAAAGAAAAACTTCAATTTGTATTAAAAATTAAGTTTCATATCGTAAGTGGATAGTGATCATCATCATGATGATTCCATTGCATAGCGATACAAAAGACTCATAAATATTGATTTTATTTATTATGTCTTCGGCTTACTCACTCGCGACTCGGCGACTCCGCCGTCGCCGACAGTCGCCGAGTCGCGTGTCGCGGAATGCTGCTCATGAATATGGGCCTCTAGCATGGCTTGAAACTAGTCGAGTATCTCGTCAAATTATTACGTGAGTAAGCCGAAAACATAATAAATAATTATGAATGTCCCACGAAAGTTATAATAAAAATATTGATTTTATTTATTTATCTTCATAAAACAAACAATTGTTTGACGGTGGGGTGAATGAGCCTTAACAATAAAGTTAAATAAGAATTTTCATTAAAATTAAAATAGCTTTTAGACAGCTGTTTTTTAAAAGTCAAAAAGTGTGGGAGCCATGCTTTGGCACGACTGGGTCGGCTCGACCGGAATGATACCACGGCCTTACAGAAAACCGGCGTGAAACAACCACAGCGTTGTGTTTTGCCGTGTGAGTGTGGTTACCGGACTCAATCCTTCCCCTCCCCAATCTCTAAATCTTTTAAATCCCTAATCCCCAAAAGCTCGGCAACGCACTCGTAACTCTTCTGTTGTTGCGGGTGGCCATGGGCGGCGCTGATTGCTTACCATCAGGTAATCCGTTTCCTCGTTTGCCGACCTATTACATTAAAAAGATAGATTGATCCAGCCTGATTGTCAGATTTATGTCCCATATGCCCAATTTTCTTGTCTTTGCTGTTTCCAACAGCAGGATACCAGGGCCTCGAGTCTGCTATTACAATAGTGTCAGAATAGTAGATCATTGGTTTCAAAATTGTTGATTTTGACAAGTTTGGTAATCTACTCACGATAGCGTCATTATGACTTTCCAATGCCACTTCATTGAAATAATTCTTTAGAACGGTAATCTCGTACACAATGACAAATGAATAGATGAAATAATGCGGTAAATTAATAAAAAAATGTAACTGACATTTTTTTTATTAATTTGCGGTAAAGGTGCGGTAAATTAATAAAAAAATGTAACTGACATTTTTTTATTTACCGCACCTTTATTCAATGATTTACGTTCAGAATATTAATGTGCAGTTATTGTTTATAATTCGTTACAAGACATCTCGTACTATAATTCTATTTTATTCTATTACGACATCGCCAAACGCCAATGATCAGCCATTTTGAATTAACAGATTACAAACTTAACAAAATGACAATGGGATCGATTAGGAATGACAACACTTTGAATATAGTAGACTTGGGCCCCAGAAAGCTAAAATTCGACGATGGCAATATAGTTGGCAACACTGTTTATTAGTGGGTTGTTATTTAAAAAAGTAAAATTAGGATAATGGACTATTGTCGGCCATTACTCACCAAGTAAACTAGGCAGCTTGTTCTGTCGGCAATGCGTGACGTACGCGAAGTAGTGCGGAGCGAAGTCCAGAAATTGCTGCCACTCCGGTTTAGTCATCTCTTTTAGCACGTACCTGTCATCTAAAATAATAAATGATCATAATTGGATAGTTTCCTATCAAATCAAAAACTAGTTATTTAAATTAGTTCGACAAGTTTCAATACAATAAAACATTCAAATCTTATAAATAAAAAGTAATTGCTGTTCATTAGTCTCGCTAAAACTCGAGAAGGGCTAGATCGATTTAAGTAATTTTTGTCTTAAAATATACGTTGAAGTCCAGGGAAGGTTTAAAAGGTAAAAACAAATATTTATATTTGAGGCGGTACAGAGTTCGCCGGGTCAGCTAGTATAACTATACTTTTATTCATCGATCTGTCGATACCCAAAATTTTCGATATTTTTTATCTAATTTTCAAGAAACAATTAAGCTATTTGACGCAAAAATAGCATGCCATCATAATTTGTATTTTCTTACAAATTTCATACAAAACGTTCGTTTCATTTTTGACATTTGGTAAAAAGTATTGAATTTTACTAGATGTTACAACACAATCTGTAAAAAAACTATTTTATCGATACAAACTTAATATTTAAAGTAACACAACCTTTACTGACAAATAAACAATATCTGTATTTGAATTATAGGCAGATGTACAAACGACGAATATCATTCATAACCCCCTTTGACTATGATCAACAAGACAACAAATAGGTACCGTCGTGGCTTAATTTATGGCAAATAACGAATCGCTCACGCGAATTAACTGAGAAAAGCACTACTAGTTTAAGACACAACGGCCAGTTGGCTGTCGCACATCGCCACGACGCGCACGCTGCTCATAAATAAGCGCCCCGTTGTGACCTGATACTAGCAGAAATTTTCTCAGTTTATTCGCGTGAGTAAGTCGTTATTTTCAATAAATTTTGAATGCGTCACGACAGTTACTATTAAAAAAAAATTACAATTGTGGTTATCTCAGATATGAAATAGAGAATGAGCGGGAAAAGGCTTTCCAATAAAAACTCGAAATTGATATTGTGGGTGATTTATAAGTGTAGATGAGTTAAAGTTGCACAATTGTGTTGTAATGTACCTTTAGTCTTGCAGAAGGTGGATCCAGACTTGCCTCCCCGAGCCGCCCAGGGCACGCAATGTGCCAGGGAGCGAATGAAACCCTCCTCTATCTCACATAGACCCTCTGCAACAAACATCGATCGTCACGAGGAACGAGCAAATAGGTCCACTACTATACAATATGTAATATCATAAAATGTGATCTCATTGATATATTCAATTTATTGTAAGTATAATATTTTAGATTGTCTTAAATATAATTGTCACTTTATTTTAAGTTAACCTTTAGACAATTTGGTACTAGTACTGTTAATCTCTTTTGATGAAATTATAAATAAATAAAGTTGTTATATACTTACTGTCAGCGCGGTCCTTGGTGTCATCGTAGCAAGCGCAAGAGGGGCGGTGCCCGGCGGGACATGGCGGCGCCGCAGGGTCTTCGCCCGCCGGGGAGCTCAGGGGGCGAAGCACCATGTGGCGCAAACGTTGGAACTGCGCCGCATAATACACGCGACATACCAACCCATCCTAGCAAAATTCGACAATCTCCCTGTTAGAGATTTCACAGGTCCGACATATTATCCGACCACTACCTAACGAAAATGCTGTTTTGAAATTATAGACGAGAAATCAATCACTATAAGTCACTATAATTGTAATAACTACCACTATAAATTCCTTAGTTTAAAAGTTTTGTTTGTGTCTTGGGCAACCGACTACTTTGTTTCGACAATGCAATTTTCGCTCGAAACTTGGTGTGATCTACAAATTGTTGATCTGTGTTCTTAAAAGTACCCCGGTCCCGTATAGGTAGGTAATGATGGTGTTAAGAACCCTACCTCGGTGAAGAAACTAGTTCTAATTATAAGTTTGAAATCGCCATTTCGCTTTAAGCAAGCGCTGTGATGAATGTGAATGCTCAAACCTTCTCCGTGTAAGAAGGGGCCTTTGCTCAGCAGTGGGCGCTTAGGATAGACTGATGATGTGATGTGATGTATGCATATAATATTTGCTACACACCTTAAGTAATACTTCCACGTGATCGTTGGACTTTAGTTTCGATTTGTCGCCGTCAGCCTTGTCCTTGCCAGTGGAGCTGGTGTTCTCATTCTCTTCCTGGTCCGTTTGCGTACTAGATAGTTTTCAAAAATATACATTTCATGTAAAATATTCCGATTAATCAATAAGGAAGTTTGGTTACAAAAAATCTGAACATCAACAATCTCTATGTGTGCTATATTTTTTTTAAACTACGCAACGAATTTTAATTCGTTTTTTTCTTAAATTGAAGAGAAGGTATAAAATGTATAATAATATCAATTAAATAGTGGTGAAATTAACCTCACTTATTACAAAGCACCCGGAGTTAGTCCCAAGTTAATGATAGAAAAATTTGTCGAGTGGTTTATATTGATTATTTTACACGTTAGGAAGCTGTGTACGAAAGATAAGGATTAGTGATATAACGGCTTCTCATTAAAGTGACGTGAAACAACGTCGTCGTTGCATTTCACGACACCAGTGAGATTACCGAAGATCTCTTCTACCTTAAGCCACCCACAGATTTCAGAAACTTCTGGTGTTGCGAGAGCCTCCATGGGCGACCCCATTTTCTTATTTTTTAGTAACGTTTCCCCGCACTCGTATTTTCGCCTGTGTCGTGGGTGCGTTTACAAGCATACAAAATAACACACACGTCACACCCAGACCCGGAACAACAATATTTGAATCACACAAAGAGTTGTTCCGCGACGAAATAGGACCTGGGAATAGAATAGACTTGCTGGTGCGGTGGCTGAGCAATTGGCTGCCGTGCAACTTGTCACGGGTTCGATTCTCACACGAAACAACTCTCTGTGTGATCTAAAAAACGTTGTTGCGGGTCAGGGTCAGGGTGTGATAAGTGTGTGAAATTGAATGTTTGTAACCGTATCTACGATACAGGAGGAAATCCTAGTGTGGGGCAACGATTTTTATAAAAAAAAACGTTTGTAATGTGTTACTTGTGTCGGTGCACGGTGCGGGTGCGTCGGTAGGTGACGGAGGCCAGCGTGGCCGCGATGACGGAGCCCAGGTCCCCCGCCTGCACCATTACTGGCACCACGCCACTCCATAGGATCATACCGCTCTATCAACAAATCAACACGGCGATACATAGATGGATGGATAGATCGATCCTAATAATAAAAAGCACAGGAAACAAACGCCATGATTGCTTACCGTCAGATAATGAGTCAGCTCGTTTGCCATCAAATCCAATAAAAAATAGTATCTATTTGGGCTCCATGAGATCCCTGATATTAACAAACAATCCTTCCCCTACCCCAATCCGTTCCCTTTCCCAAAATCTCCAAATCCTTAATCCCCAAAAGGTCGATAACGAACTCGTAGCTCCTCCGTCATTGCAGGGGTGTCCATGTGCGACGCTGATTGCTTACCATCAGGTAATCCGTTTGCTCGTTTGCCGACCTATCAGATAAAAAAAAAACATTTGAAGAAGGTTTCGTTAGTGGGTCATGGTTGAAATCTGTCGATTGTACAAAGCGTTAATTCTAGTAAAGTGGTAAAAGAAAATAAAATGTACTTACTGGATATTGAGATTCCTATTACTAATGATGAAACATTATCGCGAAGACTAAGGACAGCTTTTTTAATTTAAACTTTAATACAACACAGCTACGGTTCAAGACGTGCTAACTGAACGCATTTGATGATTGAGATGACTTTCAAAGTACTTTGGACATTAATACTGTAGTATTATGGTATAAAATGTTTAACACGTACCTGGTTAGCTGGTTGATTGTTGGACAGCAGTTGAGACAGTATTTGTCGGACAGTTTTCTTGTCGCCTTTCTCTTCATCTTCTTCTGTACCTAGAAAATCCATATTAGTATTATAAATGCGAAAGTAACTCTGTCTGTCTGTCTTTTCTTCCTGCCTAAACTACTGAAACCTATTTGTGTCAAATTTGGTACAGACATAATTGGAACTCGAGAAAGGACATAGGATAGTTTTTAAACCAAAAATCTACAGGAAGTCACTATTCCACGCGAAGAAATTCGCGAGTAGAAGCTAGTCATAAATATATGAGAAATTTGGATGTCGATTTTACACCTTTTAAGGGTTTTTTTTTATTTTCTTTCTTTTTTCTTTTCCCTTTCTGGACTTTAACGATTAATTCAAGATCAAAATTAGCCAAACCGGTAAAGGCATTGTTGAGTTACAAAATTACAACGAAAAGTGACATTGATTTTTATATATAAATAGATATTATTATAGCTTATGTTCACCTATGTAGATAGAGATAGTGTAGCTATCCAGCAGTAAAATAATCTTTTTTAATAGATCATGTAGTTTTGGAGCCAACACAATTCAAAACAAACAATAAAAAATCCCTCTTTACGATGTTAGTATAAAGTGTGGGAGAGCCATGCTTCGGCATGAATGGGTTGGCTCGACCGGAGTGATACCACGCCCTCACAGAAAACCGGCGTGAAACAACCACAACGTTGTGTTTCGCCGTTTGAGTGAGGTTACCGGAGGCCCAATCCTTCCCCTACCCCAATCCCTAAATCCCCAAAATCCCAATCCTTAAAAGGTGGGCAACGCACTCGTAACTCCTTGTTTGTTGCGGGTGTCCATGGGCGACGCCGATTGCTTACCATCATGTAATCCATCTGCTCGTTTGCCGTCCTATCACATAAAAAAATGCGAAAAAACTGAATTAAAAAAGTGAGTTTTACCTGTATGTTCTTTATCTGTATCCTTATTATTATCTGTAAACACGTATGTTGTACCTGGAATAAAAAAATACATTCTCATAATAATAAAAAGTGCCATAGTCCTTCCAAAGTTCCTAATAATTGCCAGTCTTAGCAACCCACATCCATAGCCTCATCCCTTGTTTCCATTATTCGCAATAGTCCTACACTAATCGGGGACTGTCCTTGGGTGTTTTCCATAGTGCATACAGGGATAGTCGCCGGTTTGTGTCCCATTTCATTTAGGTTAAAATTGTCTCTGCCGGGTTGACTTCGGCCTCTCGTATCCATAATTGGTAAACAAAATAATATTTTTGACGCAAGAGAATGAGGGCTTTCGATACTTTTTCTGCCGCCAGGCGGCGCTTCAAATGCGTCAGGTCCAAACAGCTGTCAGATAGCACAGATTCTTACCGAACATATTATTATTTTAGTAAAATTTTATGTATTGATTTGATTATGGGTACAAGCCACTGTTTTAATCGGCTTTTTTCTTCTGTAGGGAACTTATGTCCTCCTTTTTTAGAAACCAATAAGTATTCTGTTTGTAAAGTTTTTAAGAAAAAATAAACCAAAAAAAAATATTGATATATAAATCGTGTATGTGTTTGACAGGTAGTTGGACCTGACGTTGCAGCGCTGCCATCTCACGGGGGGAACATTTCTCTCTCTTAAAGTTTGTTTCACCGCGTTTATGTCAGAATATCAGAGCCCCTACTCTCCTCCTCAAGCGCGGGTCTGCGGAAGGAGTAAGGGTAGCTCGCCGCCTGACCAGGACCATACCCGAGCGTACGGCGCTCTTATACCTTATTTAATATTTTAAAACTGCAACCCCTTATATAAGATGCCATGTCAGCTAGTTGTAATAACATATACGCCACACATTCGCCACAGAGGCAGTCAGCCAGTTGTCATTCTCGATACCGTTCGGTTTACAAGTCGTGGATAAGTATTTCTGAGTGTAAATAAATATATAATTAAGTATAAATAACTTTCTTAAATTTAAGTTAAAAGCGGGGTAAGCGCAATGAGGCACCGCGACCTCCACCCAGGGTAGGACAAGGAACGGGGGGGTTTTAGTCAGTAAGTCTGACTCTCCCCTTTGCGATCCTGGGCGGGAGAAGTCATTTGATGATTTTCCCCTGACAAAAAAAACTTCCTCCTCTTTAGGCTACTAACTTTTCAGGAGAAGAGTATATCCACGGACAACGATGATCACCCACCATCAGAGGACCCTCATCATTTGATTCAACTAAATAAAAAGAAACCTTAATTATTATCCAAAGTGTGGGAGAGCCAAGCTTCGGCACGAATGGGTCGGCTCGATCGGAGTGATACCACGGCCTCACAGACTACCGGCGTGAAACAACCCACGGCGTTGTGTTTCGCCGTGTGAGTGAGGTTACCGGAGGCCTAATCCCCCCCCCTTCCCCTATCCCTTCCCAATCCTTATATCCGCAACCCCTATTCCCAAAAGGACGGCAACGCACTCGTAACTCCTTTGGTGTTGCGGGTGTCCATGGGCGGCGCCGATTGCTTACCATCAGGTAATGCGTATGCTCGTTTGCAGACTTATCCCATAAAAAAAATATAACATACAGTACCTAAGTTATCCTTATTGCTGTCGTCGCCACTGGAATCTTCCAATTCAGACTTTTCTTCCACTGCAAAGAAATAAATGTAGTGAATAAACGTCAACTAACAACTCCAATGGATATATTACCCCCCTCCCCCCATAACTCACACTCTCTCTCTCTCTTTCTCTTTCTCTCACCTCCCTCTCTATCACCCTCGTTCCCTTCCTCAAAATCTGTTATATTTTTCGATTTTTCTTATAATTTCTTTCTCTCTCTCTTTCAAACTCTTCTTCCTCTGTCTCTATCTTTCAATCGTACACACAGACACTCACAAATCATTGAATAGTTACCTGCATTCTCAGTTTGAGCCTTATTCTTCGCTGGGGGACTGGACCACTTATCTTGAGCCTCTCTCAGCATCTTCTCACCAGAGATGATACGATCGGATACACTCCACAAACTACGTACCACGGCTGTAATCATATTAATATGAATTATTACAATTTTATTATTTTTACTATTGATTCTATATTTTTATCTGATACTAGCTACTCTCACGCGGTTTCATAGCACTCAGGAACTTGCAGCTATCTATCATTGAAAGAATTTTGGAAATCCGACCAGCACTAAGAAAGTAATTATTTATTTGCACAGAATGTAGGTGTTAGGTGTTTACAATTGGTGTTACAGATATATAAAGAATCCTTGTACATTCTGCCTATTTAGGCATGCAAACATTTACTTGCGACATTGCCCACCATAATAAACAATAAAGTTTACTTAATGGAAGGATCATTTTATAATTCTTGAACAGAATAATAACAATTGTTTTAAAATAAGGCAGTGAGTCTATTCTTAAAAAACGTTTAAAGGTTGATCCGTAATGCAATTAGGAATTGTATTAAAAATTACAGGAGCCATTCCCATAAAACATTTTCTACTCGGAACATTAGCTATCTATCAGCAGTTTCAAAGATTACCGCCTACATAAAAACTTGCAAATTTTTGTTTTTTTTTTTAATATTAATAATAGACCACGAGCTCACAGAAACCGGCGTGAAACAACGCCTGAATGCGTTTCGCCGTAAGAATGAGGTTACTGGGATCTCAACCCCTTTCCTACATCCCTAATTCTCAAAATCCTAACACCAAAAGGCGGGCAACCCGCTAGTAACTTGTCTTGCGGATGGACTTGAGCGGTGCCCATCAGATCCTTCCGCATTCCTTTTCCGTACCCTTTGCCCAGCGATCAGCCTGATAATGAGGATACCGAATACACGTCGAGTTAGTTACCAGCAGTCGTATTGTGCTCCTGTAAGCTGGTGGAAGTCAATGCCAGGTGGATCTGTTCCATGTGTTGCTTGAAGGCCTGGTAATCTTTTTCTGCGTCGCCTTCTGATAGCCCGCTGAAGGTCTCGTGTCCTGAAAGAAATGTAACTTTAAGTAGACTAAGTAGTTAAAATTGGTAATAAGAGGCCCAATTCTGCCCCTACCCTAATCCACTAAATCCCCAAAACCCTAAAGGTCGGCAACGCACTCGTAACTCTTTCATTTGTTCGGGTGTCCATGGGTGGCGCTGATTGCTTACTATCAGGTAATCCCTCTGCTCATTTGCCGCCTTATTAGATAAAAGAACAGAATGAGGGTAAAACAGATGGCGCCTGTTTGGGCTGATGCCCAGTCGAGGTTGAAGGCAAAGCGCCGAGGCGTGGCTCGGAACAGGAGAACGGTTAGGATTGTTATAGTTAGTAAGAGTCTGAAACTCACAGAAAATCGGCGTGAAACAACCACAGCATTGTGTTTCACCGTATAAGTGTGGTTACCGGAGGCTCAATCCTTCCCCTTTCCCAATCCTTAAATCTTCAAATCCCTAATCCCTAAAAGATCGGCAATGCACTCGTGATTCCTCCGTTGCCGCAATCAGCGCCGCCTATGGACACCCTCCATGGGCGGTGCTGATTGCTTTACCATCAGGTAATGCGTCTGCTCGTTTGCCGACCTATTACATAAAAAAAGCTATGGTTACCTTTTTGTACAAGTTCGTTGAGTTGAGCTATGAGATTTTCCCGCATTTGTTTAGTGTCGTAATTAATTGAGATCATGTCGGGCGGGAACTGAATCTCGTACGGCGTTATTTTGCTGTACCTGTTAAGTAGCATATTTATCTTCTTAATATATATAAATCTCGTGTAAAAACAGACAAATAATTAGCAATAAATTAAAATTGCGACTATAATTTGAGATTTAAACTATCCTATCTCTCAAGTTGAATCGAACTGCACATGGTGTGCGACTTTTATTTTAATCGGTTTAGTAGTCCATCGCGGACAAACACGAAATCTATATATGTATACAGGAAAAGTCGTGCTAGATCCGTTAAGGGATAAATGATGTCATAAATGATGAGTACTATTATACGAATATCATTTATGACTTATTTTACTATGAAACACTCAAAAATGCAATAATTATAATAATAAGACACACAAAAAAAACAAAATTAAATTTAGTAGAATACAAATCGTCTATTTTCAATAAAAAGATGAAAAGTCGAATATCTCGAAAAGGGTTAAGTTTAGGGTAGGGTGTTTCATGGTGAAATAAGTAAGTGTGGGAGAGCTATGCTTCGGCACGAATGGGTCGGCTCGACCGGAGTGATACCACGGCCTCACAGAAGACCGGCGTGAAACAACACAGCGTTGTGTTTCGCCGTGTGAGTAAGGCTACCGGAGGCCCAATCCTTCCCCGCCCCCAATCCCTCCTCAATCCTTAAATCTCCAAATCCCTAATCCCTAAAAGGTCGGCAACGCACTCGTAACTCTTCCGTTGCGGGTGTCCATGGGCGGCGATGATTGCTTACCATCAGGTAATCCGTCTGCTCGTTTGCTGACCAATTACATAAAAAAAAAGAAATGATGAGTACTCCACGCCCTTAACGGATCTAGCACGACGTTTCCTGTAACCCTGTATATAAAAATGAATCGCAAAATATGTTGGGAAGCGCATAACTCAATAACGCTTGGACCAATTCTACAGATTGTTTTTTTGTTACGTGTGTTATTGTCAGTAGAAAGTTCTTATTAGAAAAAATATTAGAAAAGTAGAGGGGACATTTGGGTTATAGGGGCCCTTTCATCGTCAGTGAGATGATGAGACCCGTGCGAAGTTTGTATATAAATATATAAAGATATGGTTGCAGTACCGGAAGCAGACGGTGGTGAGGTGTCGCACGAAGGCGTGCGTGTGTGCGTGCAGGGGGTGCGGGCAGCGCGCGCGCACGTAGCGCGGCGCCGCCACGCGCGCGCGCACGTACACCGCCAGCGACACGCACAGCGCGCGACCACCCACGCGACGCGCGCCCGCCTCGCGTCCGCCCCGCCCGCACCACTCGCATCCTGACCAGAACGTCACCTACGCACCGACTCACTTTTACGAACATTCAAATTGACTTGAAATAAAGGATTCGATTTGATTGAGTGACTAACGCCCGGTTTCCGAAAGGCCGATCAATGTTAAAATCAAAATAAGTCATCTGATTGGTTGACTGAATTATTAACAACCAATCAGATGACGTGACAAGAGATTTAACAGGAGATTAGTTAATTTTAACGTTGACAAACCTTTCAGAAACTGGGTGTCAATCAAATCGAATCCTTTATTTCAAGTACAACATAAAATACGGTAGTTTCCAACTAGTCAAATTCAATACTTTTATCCCAATGTCAAAAACGATACCTCTATGAAATTTGTATGAAACACTGAGTTATGACGTCACAGTATTCGTGGGACAAATGGCTTACTAATTAATAATTTCTAAATAATTAGCTAATTAATAACTAAATTTAGTGTATCGATCGATAGATGAATAAAAGTACCTATAGTTATTTTTCAATATTTTATTGTATTCAAACGTCGGATTAATTTATTTTTGACCTAGAAAACTACCCAATTACTGGGCTATTAACGCGGAAAATAATTAAGTATTCAAATACATAGGAAAGTTCACAAGCAGACTGCTTGCGACCACGACCGGTGCAACCAGGTCGAAACGGCAAGTCGTCATTTATAATATTAGTATAGATAATAGCATGATTGTCTCATGTCACTTCTCATTATATGAGGGTTTTTTGTGAGGGGAAAATCATAAAATGACTTTTCCCGCCCAGGATGGGGCTGGAGGGAGAATCAGACTCTTACTGACTAAAAACACCCCCGTTCCTTTCCTGCTATAGGCCGAGGCCGCGGTGACTTAATGGCTCTTTGAGGTCCGCGCGTAAGCTCGGATTCATATAAGTGCAAGGTGCTCGGGTGCAAGTTCAAAACCTGGCAAGTAGCAATGTGAAAATTGCCGAGTTACATATCCTTTCTATGATTATGTTAAAACTTTCACATGTATTAGTAGCATTCATATTTTTATTTCCACATAAATATTTATTATTTAAAATAAATAAGTATGCTATTTGACGCTAAAATATAATTAAATCATAACGTGATTTTTCATACATTAGAATTTGAAAAAAGTATTGAATATGATTAATTAGAAACTACCCTATTGTGTATGATTCAGATGCCATAAAAGAGAAGGTATATATGTATTAAATATGCTTAAATACATATTCGAATTTAATACACAACAATAAAGCTGTAAATAAATAAAATATTACCAAAGTACTTTAGATGTCACAAATATTACCTGCTTGCTCGATTCCTCTTTGGTCTTGTCGACGTTGCTGTGGCCAATAGTGTTGCAGGTAATTGTGATACATACGTCTCCGTGCACGAACCTTTTGTAATGATATAAACAAACAAACTATTAGGGCTACGGTCTTGTGTTTTTCATTCTGGAACTTTATAGACCTACTAGCTATAGGGATTAGTGACTTCCTGCAGATTTTTGGCATAAAAAACTATCCTATGTCCTTCGTCGAGTTCCAAACTATGCCGGTGCCAAATTTCACAGAAAAAGGTTATGTAGTTTAGGCGTGAAGAAAATACAGGCAGATAGAGTTACTTTCGCATTTATAATATTAGTATAGATTTTAATTGCTTAGTTAAAACTGTGTATATTCCGGGCTCTTTGTAACGGACTTCCAAAAAGCAGAAAGGCTCTCAATTCGACCTTTTCTTTTTTATGTTTGTTCGCTGATATCACCGTTATTTATAAACCGATTTTGATAATTATTTCTTTGTTGAAACGAACATAGTGTTTTGTTTAATAGGATGCGCCAGATTCTTAGGTGTGTTGACAAACATTTGCATATAAAACAGAGTTGCTCCCTTGGTGCGGGGATCAAATGCACGACACTTTGTAAAAAAGTAAGTTGTCCAGATATTGCACCAACCGCGCAACCATATCTATCCAATCCAAATCCGTTTAGTGGTCTTTGTGTGAAAGAGAAACAAGCATGGATATTATATTATTATCTTATATGAAAATATGAATTGCTGTTCGTTAGTCTCGCTAAAACTCGAAAAAGGCTGGACCAACATGGCTAAATGTGGTCTTGAATTTTTTTTGGATATACAGGGCAGGTTTAAAAGGTCAGAAAATTTGCCAAAATAAAAAAAAATTGAGGCTGTACGAACTTTGCCGGGTCAGATAGTATATTACATAAATACTAAGAGCCCCGTGAACACGGACGGATCTGTTTGTTGAAACTAGTGAAAAATATTTTTAAACAGTAATTATCTTGAGGGACATCCGGCAGACGAGTGCTTATGAAAAATAGTCCCGACATGATACTAGTAGAGCTTATCTCATAAAATCTCGTGAATAATTGGTTATATTAAATAAACTTATGCCCGGTTCCTATATTTAACGAATCGTCATTGTATACGCATTACGATCAAATGACATTACGAATAGTTATCTTGACCGTCTACGAACGGTTAATATATTTATAGGAAAACCACAGACACAATAGATCTCCATACAATTCGCTTACCGTCAGTAAGTTGCACGACGAGACGTTTATTATAGAAACGGTTTTAGCTTACGATTCGTATATAAAACTACTATTCGTAATTAAAACGGATCGTTTCTCAATTATAGGAACCGGGCGTTAGTGAAAAATAATAACGAACCTCCGCACATGTTGGTTCATAGGCACATTGCAGTTGGGCGAAGTGCACTTATAGTCGTTGTTGAAACAATAATTGTCGAGGAACGCTCCCAGCGAAATATCCAGTTCGCCGTACATCTCCATCGTCACAATCCTACGTAACAAAATTTAATAATACTTAAATCAATACAAATTAATTTTCTAACTCACAAATAAAACAACACAATAGATGAACAATTATGTGATGAATTAAATCTAAATAAATTGGTAGACGCAGTAGACCAAAGGGATTGTAGCTACAAGCAGTATATCAAAGTGATGGTAGCTACAAGTAGCAGACCAAAGGGATCGTAGCTACAAGTAGCAGACCAAAGGGATCGTAGCTACAAGTAGCAGACTAAAGGGAGCGTAACTACAAGTAGTATACCAAAAGGAGCGTAGCTACAAGTAGTAGACCAAAAGGATCGTAGCTACAAGTAGTATACCAAAGGGATCGTAGCTACAAGTAGCAGACTAAAGGGAGCGTGACTACAAGTAGTATACCAAAAGGAGCGTAGCTACAAGTAGTAGACCAAAGGGATCGTAGCTACAAGTAGTATACCAAAGGGATCGTAGCTACAAGTAGCAGACTAAAGGGAGCGTGACTACAAGTAGTATACCAAAAGGAGCGTAGCTACAAGTAGTAGACCAAAGGGATCGTAGCTACAAGTAGTATACCAAAGGGATCGTAGCTACAAGTAGCAGACTAAAGGGAGCGTGACTACAAGTAGTATACCAAAAGGAGCGTAGCTACAAGTAGTAGACCAAAGGGATCGTAGCTACAAGTAGTATACCAAAGGGATCGTAGCTACAAGTAGCAGACTAAAGGGAGCGTGACTACAAGTAGTATACCAAAAGGAGCGTAGCTACAAGTAGTAGACCAAAGGGATCGTAGCTACAAGTAGTATACCAAAGGGATCGTAGCTACAAGTAGCAGACTAAAGGGAGCGTGACTACAAGTAGTATACCAAAAGGAGCGTAGCTACAAGTAGTAGACCAAAGGGATCGTAGCTACAAGTAGTATACCAAAGGGATCGTAGCTACAAGTAGCAGACTAAAGGGAGCGTGACTACAAGTAGTATACCAAAAGGAGCGTAGCTACAAGTAGTAGACCAAAGGGATCGTAGCTACAAGTAGTATACCAAAGGGATCGTAGCTACAAGTAGCAGACTAAAGGGAGCGTGACTACAAGTAGTATACCAAAAGGAGCGTAGCTACAAGTAGTAGACCAAAGGGATCGTAGCACCTGTGTGAACCTGGCACCCGACTTTGGAAAAATTGGGTTTTTTAATGGTTTTTCGAAAGATTTCGATTAGTAGTTGATAGTAGTTAAGCTATTTTCGTTAGTAGTAAAACCAAAAAAAAAAAAAAATTGTTAAAAAATGTCATCCCCCGAAAATAAAAAAAAATGTTTTTTCCGGCTGTTTCTCATAGATAAACGTTAGTAGTGGATTGTAGTACAATTTTATTCGTTTGTAGTAAAATAGAAGAAAAAAAAAAACGTTTCGGAGTATTTTTTGAAAACGATTTTTATGACCTGAATACTGTTTCAAGGCATATACGATTACTACTAACGTTAGATTTGACTAAAAAGGGTTCCTAGAGGTTAGTAGTGAAAGAATTTTCGATAGTAGTAAAGGTACATGTTGACTAGAAGCACTTGAGATGAGCCAAACTTGTTTCGGAGCGATATTTGCTGGAATTTTTTTTTAATGATAAATTCGACTACTACAAACGTTGAAATTGACTAAAAAGGGTTCCTAGAGGTTAGTAGTGAAAGAATTTTCGATAGTAGTAAAGGTACATGTTGACTAGAAGCACTTGAGATGAGCCAAACTTGTTTCGGAGCGATATTTGCTGGATAAAATTTTTTTGATGATAAATACGACTACTACAAACGTTGAAATTGACTAAAAAGGGTTCGTAGAGGTTTGTAGTGAAAGAATTTTCGATAGTAGTAAAGGTACATGTTGACTAGAATCACTTGAGATGAGCCAAACTTGTTTCGGAGCGATATTTGCTTTTTGTGTTTGTACTTTGGCTCATCTCAAGTGCTTCTAGTCAACATGTACCTTTACTACTATCGAAAATTCTTTCACTACAAACCCTTTTTAGTCAATTTCAACGTTTGTAGTAGTCGTATTTATCATAAAAAAAATTTATCCAGCAAATATCGCTCCGAAATAAGTTTGGCTCATCTCAAGTGCTTCTAGTCAACGTGTACCTTTACTACTATCGAAAATTCTTTCACTACAAACCTCTACGAACCCTTTTTAGTCAATTTCAAAGTTTGTAGTAGTCGAATTTATCATTAAAAAAAAATTCCAGCAAATATCGCTCCGAAACAAGTTTGGCTCATCTCAAGTGCTTCTAGTCAACATGTACCTTTACTACTATCGAAAATTCTTTCACTACAAACCTCTACGAACCCTTTTTAGTCAATTTCAAGGTTTGTAGTAGTCGTATTTATCATTAAAAAAAATGTATCCAGCAAATATCGCTCCGAAACAAGTTGGCTCATCTTAAGTGAATCTAGTCAACATGTACCTTTACTACTATCGAAAATTCTTTCACTACAAACCTCTACGAACCCTTTTTAGTCAATTTCAAGGTTTGTAGTAGACGTATTTATCATTAAAAAAAAATTCCAGCAAATATCGCTCCGAAACAAGTTTGGCTCATCTCAAGTGCTTCTAGTCAACATGTACCTTTACTACTATCGAAAATTCTTTCACTACAAACCTCTAGGAACCCTTTTTAGTCAATTTCAACGTTTGTAGTAGTCGTATTTATCATCAAAAAAAAAAAAATATGCAGCGAATATCGCTCCGAAACAAGTTGGCTCATCTCAAGTGATTCTAGTCAACATGTACCTTTACTACTATCGAAAATTCTTTCACTACAAACCTCTACGAACCCTTTTTAGTCAATTTCAAAGTTTGTAGTAGTCGAATTTATCATTAAAAAAAAATTCCAGCAAATATCGCTCCGAAACAAGTTTGGCTCATCTCAAGTGCTTCTAGTCAACATGTACCTTTACTACTATCGAAAATTCTTTCACTACTAACCTCTAGGAACCCTTTTTAGTCAATTTCAACGTTTGTAGTAGTCGTATTTATCATCAAAAAAAAAATTATGCAGCGAATATCGCTCCGAAACAAGTTGGCTCATCTCAAGTGATTCTAGTCAACATGTACCTTTACTACTATCGAAAATTCTTTCACTACAAACCTCTACGAACCCTTTTTAGTCAATTTCAAAGTTTGTAGTAGTCGAATTTATCATTAAAAAAAAAATTCCAGCAAATATCGCTCCGAAACAAGTTTGGCTCATCTCAAGTGCTTCTAGTCAACATGTACCTTTACTACTATCGAAAATTCTTTCACTACAAACCTCTACGAACCCTTTTTAGTCAATTTCAACGTTTGTAGTAGTCGTATTTATCATCAAAAAAATTTTATCCAGCAAATATCGCTCCGAAATAAGTTTGGCTCATCTCAAGAGCTTCTAGTCAACATGTACCTTTACTACTATCGAAAATTCTTTCACTACAAACCTCTACGAACCCTTTTTAGTCAATTTCAACGTTTGTAGTAGTCGTATTTATCATAAAAAAAAAAATCCAGCAAATATCGCTCCAAAACAAGTTTGGCTCATCTCAAGTGCTTCTAGTCAACATGTACCTTTACTACTATCGAAAATTCTTTCACTACAAACCCTTTTTAGTCAATTTCAACGTTTGTAGTAGTCGTATTTATCATAAAAAAATTTTATCCAGCAAATATCGCTCCGAAACAAGTTTGGCTCATCTCAAGTGCTTCTAGTCAACGTGTACCTTTACTACTATCGAAAATTCTTTCACTACAAACCTCTACGAACCCTTTTTAGTCAATTTCAACGTTTGTAGTAGCCGTATTTATCTTCAAACAGATTTTATCCAGCAAATATCGCTCCGAAACAAGTTTGGCTCATCTCAAGTGCTTCTAGTCAACATGTACCTTTACTACTATCGAAAATTCTTTCACTACAAACCTCTACGAACCCTTTTTAGTCAATTTCAACGTTTGTAGTAGTCGTATTTATCATAAAAAAAAAATCCAGCAAATATCGCTCCAAAACAAGTTTGGCTCATCTCAAGTGCTTCTAGTCAACATGTACCTTTACTACTATCGAAAATTCTTTCACTACAAACCTCTACGAACCCTTTTTAGTCAATTTCAAGGTTTGTAGTAGTCGTATTTATCATTAAAAAAAATGTATCCAGCAAATATCGCTCCGAAACAAGTTGGCTCATCTTAAGTGAATCTAGTCAACATGTACCTTTACTACTATCGAAAATTCTTTCACTACAAACCTCTACGAACCCTTTTTAGTCAATTTCAAGGTTTGTAGTAGACGTATTTATCATTAAAAAAAAATTCCAGCAAATATCGCTCCGAAACAAGTTTGGCTCATCTCAAGTGCTTCTAGTCAACATGTACCTTTACTACTATCGAAAATTCTTTCACTACAAACCTCTAGGAACCCTTTTTAGTCAATTTCAACGTTTGTAGTAGTCGTATTTATCATCAAAAAAAAAAAATATGCAGCGAATATCGCTCCGAAACAAGTTGGCTCATCTCAAGTGATTCTAGTCAACATGTACCTTTACTACTATCGAAAATTCTTTCACTACAAACCTCTACGAACCCTTTTTAGTCAATTTCAAAGTTTGTAGTAGTCGAATTTATCATTAAAAAAAAATTCCAGCAAATATCGCTCCGAAACAAGTTTGGCTCATCTCAAGTGCTTCTAGTCAACATGTACCTTTACTACTATCGAAAATTCTTTCACTACTAACCTCTAGGAACCCTTTTTAGTCAATTTCAACGTATGTAGTAGTCGTATTTATCATAAAAAAAAAAATTATGCAGCGAATATCGCTCCGAAACAAGTTGGCTCATCTCAAGTGATTCTAGTCAACATGTACCTTTACTACTATCGAAAATTCTTTCACTACAAACCTCTACGAACCCTTTTTAGTCAATTTCAAAGTTTGTAGTAGTCGAATTTATCATTAAAAAAAAAATTCCAGCAAATATCGCTCCGAAACAAGTTTGGCTCATCTCAAGTGCTTCTAGTCAACATGTACCTTTACTACTATCGAAAATTCTTTCACTACAAACCTCTACGAACCCTTTTTAGTCAATTTCAACGTTTGTAGTAGTCGTATTTATCATCAAAAAAATTTTATCCAGCAAATATCGCTCCGAAATAAGTTTGGCTCATCTCAAGAGCTTCTAGTCAACATGTACCTTTACTACTATCGAAAATTCTTTCACTACAAACCTCTACGAACCCTTTTTAGTCAATTTCAACGTTTGTAGTAGTCGTATTTATCATAAAAAAAAAATCCAGCAAATATCGCTCCAAAACAAGTTTGGCTCATCTCAAGTGCTTCTAGTCAACATGTACCTTTACTACTATCGAAAATTCTTTCACTACAAACCCTTTTTAGTCAATTTCAACGTTTGTAGTAGTCGTATTTATCATAAAAAAATTTTATCCAGCAAATATCGCTCCGAAACAAGTTTGGCTCATCTCAAGTGCTTCTAGTCAACGTGTACCTTTACTACTATCGAAAATTCTTTCACTACAAACCTCTACGAACCCTTTTTAGTCAATTTCAACGTTTGTAGTAGCCGTATTTATCTTCAAACAGATTTTATCCAGCAAATATCGCTCCGAAACAAGTTTGGCTCATCTCAAGTGCTTCTAGTCAACATGTACCTTTACTACTATCGAAAATTCTTTCACTACAAACCTCTACGAACCCTTTTTAGTCAATTTCAACGTTTGTAGTAGTCGTATTTATCATAAAAAAAAAATCCAGCAAATATCGCTCCAAAACAAGTTTGGCTCATCTCAAGTGCTTCTAGTCAACATGTACCTTTACTACTATCGAAAATTCTTTCACTACAAACCCTTTTTAGTCAATTTCAACGTTTGTAGTAGTCGTATTTATCATAAAAAAATTTTATCCAGCAAATATCGCTCCGAAACAAGTTTGGCTCATCTCAAGTGCTTCTAGTCAACGTGTACCTTTACTACTATCGAAAATTCTTTCACTACAAACCTCTACGAACCCTTTTTAGTCAATTTCAACGTTTGTAGTAGCCGTATTTATCTTCAAACAGATTTTATCCAGCAAATATCGCTCCGAAACAAGTTTGGCTCATCTCAAGTGCTTCTAGTCAACATGTACCTTTACTACTATCGAAAATTCTTTCACTACAAACCTCTACGAACCCTTTTTAGTCAATTTCAACGTTTGTAGTAGTCGTATTTATCTTCAAACAGATTTTATCCAGCAAATATCGCTCCGAAACAAGTTTGGCTCATCTCAAGTGCTTCTAGTCAACATGCACTTTCACTACTATCGAAAATTCTTTCACTACAAACCTCTACGAACCCTTTTCAATAATTTCTATCGTTTGTAGTAGCCGTATTTATCTTCAAACAGATTTTATCCAGCAAATATCGCTCCGAAACAAGTTTGGCTCATCTCAAGTGCTTCTAGTCAACGTGTACCTTTACTACTATCGAAAATTCTTTCACTACAAACCTCTACGAACCCTTTTTAGTCAATTTCAACGTTTGTAGTAGTCGTATTTATCATAAAAAAAAATCCAGCAAATATCGCTCCGAAACAAGTTTGGCTCATCTCAAGTGCTTCTAGTCAACATGTACCTTTACTACTATCGAAAATTCTTTCACTACTAACCTCTACGAACCCTTTTTAGTCAATTTCAACGTTTGTAGTAGTCGTATTTATCATAAAAAAAAATCCAGCAAATATCGCTCCGAAACAAGTTTGGCTCATCTCAAGTGCTTCTAGTCAACGTGTACCTTTACTACTATCGAAAATTCTTTCACTACAAACCTCTACGAACCCTTTTTAGTCAATTTCAACGTTTGTAGTAGCCGTATTTATCTTCAAACAGATTTTATCCAGCAAATATCGCTCCGAAACAAGTTTGGCTCATCTCAAGTGCTTCTAGTCAACATGTACCTTTACTACTATCGAAAATTCTTTCACTACAAACCTCTACGAACCCTTTTTAGTCAATTTCAACGTTTGTAGTAGTCGTATTTATCATTAAAAAAAATTTATCCAGCAAATATCGCTCCGAAACAAGTTTGGCTCTTCTCAAGTGCTTGTAGTCAACATGTACCTTTACTACTATCGAAAATTCTTTCACTACTAACCTCTAGGAACCCTTTTTAGTCAATTTCAACGTTTGTAATATCGCTCCGAAACAAGTTTGGCTCATCTCAAGTGCTTCTAGTCAACGTGTACCTTTACTACTATCGAAAATTCTTTCACTACTAACCTCTAGGAACCCTTTTTAGTCAATTTCAACGTTTGTAGTAGTCGAATTTATCATTAAAAAAAAATTCCAGCAAATATCGCTCCGAAACATGTTTGGCTCATCTCAAGTGCTTCTAGTCAACATGTACCTTTACTACTATCGAAAATTCTTTCACTACTAACCTCTAGGAAACCTTTTTAGTCAAATCTAACGTTAGTAGTAATCGTATATGCCTTGAAACAGTATTCAGGTCATAAAAATCGTTTTCAAAAAATACTCCGAAACGATTTTTTTTTTCTTCTATTTTACTACAAACGAATAAAATTGCACTACAATCCACTACTAACGTTTATCTATGAGAAACAGCCGGAAAAAACTTTTTTTTTGATTTTCGGGGGATGACATTTTTTTTTTAATTTTTTTTTTTTTTTTGTTTTACTACTAACGAAAATAGCTTCACTACTATCCACTACTAATCGAAATCTTTCGAAAAACCATTAAAAAACCAATTTTTCCAAAGTCGGGTGCCAGGTTCACACAGGTGATCGTAGCTACAAGTAGTATACCAAAGGGATCGTAGCTACAAGTAGCAGACTAAAGGGAGCGTGACTACAAGTAGTATACCAAAAGGAGCGTAGCTACAAGTAGAAGACTAAAGGGATCGTAGCTACAAGTAGTTTACCAAAAGGAGCGTAGCTACAAGTAGTAGACCAAAGGGATTGTAGCTACACGTAGAAGTAGACTGAAGGGATCATAGCTACAAGAAGTAGGCCGAAGTGGAGTAGTAGACCGAAGGGATCGTAGCTATAAGTAACAGACCAAAGCGATCATTTATTCTCCAGTTATTTCACACGGTGGAATACAATGCAAGCGTTGTTTTAACGTCAGTGTTTTATGGTATCAATACGTTATTGCCGGATCAGTCGTGCCTATGCATGGCACAAACGTTCATAGTAGACCAAAGTCATCGTGAGCTAAAGTAGTAAACGGAAGAGATCGTGACTGTAAGAGTTTAATGGAGGTTACTCACCTAGGGTTGACGCAGAAGTCTGGTACGTTAGCCGATTTATTGCTAAAGCTATAGAAAAGAAGACTCAATTGTTGGTGATTCTCCGGGGCCAACGGGTCCAGAGGTTCATTATCATTCGATTTCTCGTTCGGGTCTTGCTCGGGTTCCTTCACTCTTTTCACAACCGATGGCTTGTACATCGGACAGTGAGCTGAAAGTGTAAATTCTGTATAATTGGACCAAACTTGATGTTATTTTTATATCACCTTGGAAAAGATTCTAAGAGGGAAAACGTTGTGCTAGCTTGGTATAGGAATAAGATTGTCACTGATATACTTCTTTAAAAGAAAGAATGTATTTGTAAACCCTGACTATAGTCGGAGAATGGAGTAGTCACCGATAACTCGACTAGTGAGGGTTGACAATAACTCTTGCTTAAGAGATTGTCCCTCTCACCCCGGGGGGGAGGGGGGAGGGTATTAATCATTTTTGATGATCCTCTCCCGCCCTCCGCAATATTTTGATAGCAAAACTCATTTCTTACACATCTACAGATCCGAACTACAGATTATAATAAAAGGATACTCACGTTTATGTTTATCGTTTACGAGCCGGCAACCAGTGGCCCTGTAGTGCGCAAGCGCCGCTTTAAGAGCTGGGTCGTCGGCTGGCGCTGTAATCGCCATCTTAGCAAATGGGTGAAGGTCCTAAAATATAAAATGATTATATTTGCTTATATTCCACGAGGAAAGCTAAGAAACTCACAAAAACACCCTTGTCAAACCCAGTTAGAGTTTGTTGTTTTAAATAATGCTTTAAATAACGTTAATCTGAAAGAAAACAGACAGTTACTACCTACGCCAAATTAATACAATCTATTACTTCTATAGATTATTTTTTATTAAAAGACTATCAGTTAATTATAATTACGTACCTTTTAAATAAATAACTACATTTTACAAATACATAAACGCTACTTGCTTAAATGTTTAATTATAATATTTTATACTGTTTTAAAGACTCCAAAAACTTATTTAAATACAGTTCAGAGAAAGCCAACGTGCTAGCATTTGCAGTATGTTATTAAAGACGGTCATCGAGTTACAATGTCTGAGTTTGTTTACGGTGTTTCATTCAGAAAATCAACTTGTTTATTATTATATAATACGAGTAAAATTATTTTAAGTATATTTTCAGAAAGATATGTATTATTTATAATGACCTTGAGCTGTGGCAATGATTGCGAGGTGCGCGCGTCGTGCTTGCTGAGCCTGGGCGCGTGCGGGGAGGGGGCGGACGGCCGCGGCCGGGGTAGCTGCCCTCGTAACCCGCCCCGCAGTCCCGCCTCCGATTCCAAGTATGGGGCCGGGATCACCACGTTCGGGGACATCGACAGAACCACGTCATCCGTCGACCATCTAATACACAGGTCAGAGACACTCAGAGATTGACCAAAGTAAGTTAACTACTTATTACTTAAGGCAAAAAATACAAAATATATTTTTAGATTTTACGATGTGACAACACAATCATGACGCACTACCACAACCAATCTTTTTGTGCTAGGTTTGCGATTTCACGGAATGCATTATACAAAGAGAATCCTGTATGTAGGTTTAACAAAAGCAACTTACCGATCTGTATGAGTATCTGCCTTCAGCTTAGCTTCCTCTTTAGGCAAGAACACATCGTCATCAACAGACAACGTAGCGCGCAATGGGTCACTAAAGTCTCTGATTGGAACACCGCAGCTGAGAGTTTTGTCACTTTCTGTTTTACGGCCAAACGGTTTCGTAGTTTGTAAAGGATCGTCTCCCAATGAAACTTTAACTTCCTTATCTACTTTATCTTCATTGTTTGGTGCGACAGCTTTATCATCAACCTTTTCAGTGTCTTTTACGCTAGAGTTAGTAAATATATTATCAGATCTAGAGGACTCAGTACTATCAGTCTCATTGCTCTTCCTAGATTCCTCGTTCAATGAATCTTTACGTTTAATATCATCCTTCTCTCGTTCGTCGCTTTGAGTATCATCATTTGTAATATCATTTTTTACGATATCATCCTTTGAAACTTCATTGTCGTTCACGTCATCATCAAACGTCATTCCTGGTTCAGGCAGAATAGCTTCAATGTCACCTAAAAATGCCTTTTCCAGTTTCCAGTTGTAACAAGCTAAAAGCATGAATTTCACGACTTTCTTCACTTTAATTAACTCTTGTAGGGAGGCCCCTCTAAGTAATATGCAGCACGCTAGGTTTGGTTCAGCACATCCCTCTAGAACCATCAATGTTTTGCTGGAATCTATTGACAAAGAGGTTGATCGATTTTTATTTATGTAAGGTGAACGTTAGTTTTCATTTAGAAGGAACGTTGCAGTACAATTAAGTCTCTTGTTATCCGTTAAACAACTAAGTATAGTGAGGGATACGTACAGTTCTTGACGTAAAAGTTGTTACATGTGCCGAGTCGCGGCATCCCGACACGTGCGTCGATGGAGGAGAGCGGCGATGCGCGCGTGGCCCGCGCCGCCCGAGCCAGCGCGCGCCCCCGCACGTGCGCCGCCAGCGCCACCCCCGCGCTGCGCAGCGCGTCCTGCACGCCGCGCGCCGCCGCGCCCCCCACCAGCACCACGCGCGGCCGCAGCGCTGCTATACGCGCCGCGCACCGCACCAGGTACTCCCGCTCCTACCCCACACAGACTGTACTGTACTATACTATCCCCCCGCCCCCCACCAGCACCACGCGCGGCCGCAGCGCTGCTATACGCGCCGCGCACCGCACCAGGTACTCCCGCTCCTACCCCACACAGACTGTACTGTACTATACTATCCCCCCGCCCCCCACCAGCACCACGCGCGGCCGCAGCGCTGCTATACGCGCCGCGCACCGCACCAGGTACTCCCGCTCCTACCCCACACAGACTGTACTGTACTATACTATCCCCCCGCCCCCCACCAGCACCACGCGCGGCCGCAGCGCTGCTATACGCGCCGCGCACCGCACCAGGTACTCCCGCTCCTACCCCACACAGACTGTACTGTACTATACTATCCCCCCGCCCCCCACCAGCACCACGCGCGGCCGCAGCGCTGCTATACGCGCCGCGCACCGCACCAGGTACTCCCGCTCCTACCCCACACAGACTGTACTGTACTATACTATCCCCCCGCCCCCCACCAGCACCACGCGCGGCCGCAGCGCTGCTATACGCGCCGCGCACCGCACCAGGTACTCCCGCTCCTACCCCACACAGACTGTACTGTACTATACTATCCCCCCGCCCCCCACCAGCACCACGCGCGGCCGCAGCGCTGCTATACGCGCCGCGCACCGCACCAGGTACTCCCGCTCCTACCCCACACAGACTGTACTGTACTATACTATCCCCCCGCCCCCCACCAGCACCACGCGCGGCCGCAGCGCTGCTATACGCGCCGCGCACCGCACCAGGTACTCCCGCTCCTACCCCACACAGACTGTACTGTACTATACTATCCCCCCGCCCCCCACCAGCACCACGCGCGGCCGCAGCGCTGCTATACGCGCCGCGCACCGCACCAGGTACTCCCGCTCCTACCCCACACAGACTGTACTGTACTATACTATCCCCCCGCCCCCCACCAGCACCACGCGCGGCCGCAGCGCTGCTATACGCGCCGCGCACCGCACCAGGTACTCCCGCTCCTACCCCACACAGACTGTACTGTACTATACTATCCCCCCGCCCCCCACCAGCACCACGCGCGGCCGCAGCGCTGCTATACGCGCCGCGCACCGCACCAGGTACTCCCGCTCCTACCCCACACAGACTGTACTGTACTATACTATCCCCCCGCCCCCCACCAGCACCACGCGCGGCCGCAGCGCTGCTATACGCGCCGCGCACCGCACCAGGTACTCCCGCTCCTACCCCACACAGACTGTACTGTACTATACTATCCCCCCGCCCCCCACCAGCACCACGCGCGGCCGCAGCGCTGCTATACGCGCCGCGCACCGCACCAGGTACTCCCGCTCCTACCCCACACAGACTGTACTGTACTATACTATCCCCCCGCCCCCCACCAGCACCACGCGCGGCCGCAGCGCTGCTATACGCGCCGCGCACCGCACCAGGTACTCCCGCTCCTACCCCACACAGACTGTACTGTACTATACTATCCCCCCGCCCCCCACCAGCACCACGCGCGGCCGCAGCGCTGCTATACGCGCCGCGCACCGCACCAGGTACTCCCGCTCCTACCCCACACAGACTGTACTGTACTATACTATCCCCCCGCCCCCCACCAGCACCACGCGCGGCCGCAGCGCTGCTATACGCGCCGCGCACCGCACCAGGTACTCCCGCTCCTACCCCACACAGACTGTACTGTACTATATGCCCCGCTTTCAAATACTTAATTTGTAGGAATAGTTACAGAACAGTTAACAGAGTAACAATAAACAGTACTCTTCCTAAAGCCGTGTAAAATAAAAAATATACATACATACATGTGAGCATGACACGTAAGAGATACACAAAGTTGGCTAGGAGAGTTAGGATACGAAAACAAACTAACCTGCAATAAAACTGGTTCCAGCGAAGTAAGTTTGCCCTCCACACGTTGGTACGCTATAGAACAGTCTAGAAGTAGTATTGTGGGGTTTGATATCTGTTGTGGCATTCCCCTGTATACAAAAATTGTACAGCATTACTCATTTTATTTCCTCCCCACTTTTTCTTTTACTCTCATTCACTTTCCTCCCCTTTCACACCCTCCTTCTCTCTTCCGTAAGCTGACATGAGTTGTGCACAGACCTGTGCGCCACGTTCTTGGTGAGCACGACGCCCTGCACGAGGCAACTGTCGCGCATACTGCCGCCCGGTACCTTCTTCACCTGCACGTAGTTGCGCACGTCTATGTCGTTACTGTTTACATCTGTGTAAAAAACAATCTTGTATTTTTGTCTACCACTATCATTTTCACAGTGTGGACGGTGAAAAAATTACCTGGTGGCCCGGGTAATGGCTGAACGCTTCACATGCATGAAGTTAGTTCGAAACCTGGCCTACTGACCTTTGTGACTTTTTCCGAGATACATGAACTTTCTAAGAGGGTACAGGTTCGTAACCAGGCAAGTACTAATGTGACTTTTTCTGAGGTGTTTCCTGTTCTCTGTTTTCTGTCCCCGCTGAGATACGGTGAAGGAAAACACAGTGAGGAAACTCATAATTTCTAATCATAAGTTTGAAATCGCCAATCCGTCTTGAGCAATGGTGGTGAATAATGCTCAAACCTTCTCCATGTGGGAAAAGCCCTTTGCTCAGCAGTGGGCACTTATAGGCTGATGATGGACAGGAAAGCACCTTACAATAATGGAATGATTTGAACATGTATTTTAGTCTACTAAATATGAGATTAAGTCTGCAGCTTCAAAATAATCCATATACAGCCATTTTTGAAACGTCACAATTGATTGTCCGTTATTTTACGTCAGTGAGGCTATGTACTTACTCGTTCCGAATTATATATTCGTATATGGTATGAATAGGTAGAGAACACAAACAGCTTTTGGGAACTACAGGATACTACTTGGTAAAAAAAAAACAATCAAATTGAGAACCTCCTCCTTTTTTTGAAGTCGGTTAAAAAAGTAAAAGGAAGGATTAAGGCGATTCTTTTGCAAAAGAACTTTCGTTAAGTTCCGACTGATTTTTTTATTGTGAGGGGAAAACCATCAAATGACTTTTCCTTGTCCCACTCAAGGTCCGGCGGGAGGGAGTGTCAGACTCTTTTTTAAACTCTCTGTTCTTTTATAAGCGCTAGGCCGAGGCCGCGGTGCGTCATTGCGATTACTCCGCAACCCCGGCTAAACATCAGCCCTATAGGGTTCTGTGGAGTTCCGACAGATGATGACTAGTTTAGCATTGTAGTAACTCACCCAGCACGATAGTGTCAGCGGCTTGCAGACAGAGCGGGTACAGCACTTGCAGCCAGGCCGCCGGCAGGGCGTGCCGCGCCAGGCACTGCCGCATCAGAAGGCGCAGGTGCTCCTCGCCAGACTCCACTATCGCTTTGCAAATGTGTTTGGCTTCGGCCGGCGCTGTGCAAGCCACACCCAGGATTTTTCAGGTTACAAGGAATGATTACAAAAATCATCAATCGATTTAAATTATTACATAACAAACACATTCTTACCTTCATTTTGTTCTAATACCGGTGGTTCTTCTTCGCTGGACGACGATTTCTTTTCTAGAAAAATGTATTAAAACATTTTTATTTTATTTCATTCATTTCAGTATCAGTATTTTATTGCTTGAGTTACCTGCTTTGGGTGTCTTCGTTAGCCTTGCAGAATTCTCATCTAGATTCAGATCGAGGCAATATGATGATGATGAGGCACTTTCCACTAATCTTGTTGACTCCGCAGCTATCAAAACAATGTACAAAATTTGACAAATTTTTTATCAAGAGGTAAGGCAAACAATTTAAGTTTATAATATTGTACACACTAGATGGCGCTAGTATAGTTTAAGGATATGTTTATATAGATGGTAAAGAATGTCTTGTATAAACATTTTTTGTTAGATTTTAGAAGCTGTTTGGGCATTCCTGAAGCCTAAAACACTTCGGCGCCAATAAACTGGATCGACCGAAACTGCCTTACAAGAAATAAACGTGTAAGAAAAGCTTGCGATTGCAACCATGTGAGTGACGTTACTCGAAATCCCAAGGCCGGCAACACTGTAACGGTGTTGAAGTTGATGACTCTGGGCGATGTTAATCACTTACTATCAGGTGAGTAATCTGCTTCTTTGAGGAGACGTATAAGCTCCTTGATGGTAAGCAATCGGCGGGTGTACACCAAAGGAGTCACGACAGCGTTGCCGGACTTATGATGGTTAGGGTTTCGGAGATTAAAGGATTGGGGAGGGCATAGAAAGGGTAAGATTGGGCGTCCAGTAAAAATTTACACAACAGTTACAGTTACAATATTTGGTGATTTTTAATTCATTTTCACTTACGTGAGTTTTCTTCATCTGTAGCCCGAGGTGGCAGCACTATAGGCTTATAGAGGGCGTAGTCAACGAACTGAGGCAGTTCCGTCATACATTCCATGTAACCAGCACATAGCAAGTTTTGACAAAATAATGTAGCTTGGGCCCTAAACGAAAATATGCATGATATTAGTAATTTGTCAGTTTCCTATATCAACCACAAAATCATTTTGATTTTTCAATACAATGAATGTTTGATGATAATGATGAATAATTTAATGATATAGGTAGGTACTCAATTTCAGAAATTTTTTTAGCAAAATTTTTAGAAAATATATAGTTACGTCAAATTGCATATTTGACGTCATATGTTGCCATTTCATATAAAACTCGTCCAACATTATAGTTTTTGTCATTTCGATAAAAAATATTTTATGTTACTAGTTAGAAACTTTGGAAACATGATATGACATGCAAATCCTGGAATTAACCTTACCTCGTCTTATTACTGGTGTTATCCATAACCCATTGCAGGATGTCACAGCCACGCCATACTCCATTGTAGCGAACAAGACGATACCTGCAAAATAATTGCGGTAACTTGATGCGAATAAATACATAAATAAAATGTGGGCAGTGAGTAGTGAGGTGTAGTGTGTATCCCCCGTGCAGGCAGTGTGTAGTGAGGTGTAGTGCGTGTATCCCCCGTGCAGGCAGTGTTTAGTGAGGTGTAGTGCGTGTATCCCCTGTGTAGGCATAGAGTAATGAGGTGTAGTACGTGTTACCCCTGTGTGGTGGGCAGTGAGTAGTGAGGTGTAGTTCGCGTGTCCCCTGAGTGGGTAGTGTGTAGTAAGGTGTAGTACGTGTGTCGCCTGTGTAGGCATAGAGTAGTGAGGTGTAGTACGTGTTACCCCTGTGTGGTGGGCAGTGAGTAGTGAGGTGTAGTTCGCGTGTCCCCTGAGTGGGTAGTGTGTAGTAAGGTGTAGTACGTGTATCCCCTGTGTAGGCATAGAGTAGTGAGGTGTAGTACGTGTTACCCCTGTGTGGTGGGCAGTGAGTAGTGAGGTGTAGTACGTGTGTCGCCTGTGTAGGCAGTGAGTAGTAAGGTGTAGTACGTGTTACCCCTGTGTGGTGGGCAGTGAGTAGTGAGGTGTAGTTCGCGTGTCCCCTGAGTGGGTAGTGTGTAGTAAGGTGTAGTACGTGTGTCACCTGTGTAGGCATAGAGTAGTGAGGTGTAGTTTGTGTGTTCCCTGAGTGGTCAGTGTGTTGTAAGGTGTAGTGAGTAGTGAGGTATAGTCAGTAGTGAGGTGTAGTACGTGTGTCCCCTGAGTGGGCAGTGTGTAGTAAGATGTAGTATGTCACCTGTGTTGCTGTGTGGGCAGTGAGTATGTGAGATGCCTGTAGACGTCGTGTAGTGTCTCGTGTTGCGGTCGTGGCTCGCAGCGCTCCTCCTGCTCTCGGGGGAACATGAAACTATCGCGCAACTTGTGAGCCTGCTGCGACTTATTCTCCGGGAACTTCACCTTTAATAATGAAGAATACATAAAAAAGTATTAGTTAAAGAAGATATAACACACTATATTTTTTTTTTACCACAGATCTATATGCGATGTCATCCCTATTGAAACAGACCTGTAAGTTCTCCTGCAGGGTTCTTAGATCAGGTGGTATCTCGCCAGTCATGTCATTCTCCTTCAAATAACTCAGCACTACATTGCAACAATAGTTGCAAACCCGTAGACCACCAGCACATCCAAAAATGTGCCCTGTTGCATTGGAAGAAGGTACACATTTAACAAATCAAGATCAAAAAGTGAAAAGACTTTTCTGGATAAAGGCTTGATATAATACAACTAAAAATGTATAACCAAAGTGCATTCAAACTGACGTAGAAGTTTCTATAAAGATTTCTTTCTAAATATAAAAAAATTTAAAATGTCTTTTAAATATTCCATAAAAATTTAGGAAAAATGTTGAATATTGTTTTAGTTAAATAATTTCTATTGAATACACTGTAATTTACAAACAAATATTTGTTTTATTGCTCATACCAGGTACTCTTTGGCTGCAGCATCTTGAACAGAATATTTGACCACACACTCTGCAGTGGTGCCTACGTCGCAGGGTACTAAATCTTGAGGCACATTCATAACATTCACGAGAAATATCATCTGGCATCCAATAGCGGGCCAGTTCCGTATCTGCATATTTTGTTCCACCCTGTAAATAAAAAACTATCATAGTTAACACTTGAATTTTTAAAAGTTGAATGGGCCAAAATGGTTGAACATTAAAAACAACTAAATAAACTTAATAATAAAAAGTTAACATAAAACCAGGTAAGTACTAATGTTTTAAAGGAAGTCTAAGGAAATTGATCTTAGGCTGTATATCCACCACTATATGATTAGTGTATGAAGCAATAAAATTACAAATAAATAAAGCTCAGACACACAATATAGATATATTGAACTTACCCCAGATCCCAAGGCTATTAAACTACTAATTCTCCTAAGAACATTAGGTAGACTTCTCCCTTCCAACTCCTCTGCATATGCTCCTGTCTCAGGTTTCCCATCATTGTAATCTTGCTTCTGCTCCTCATTCTGAGGGGCGTCTTTCCCGTCAGTTATTGCCTTGTTTGCCATATTATCTACAGCCTCACTTGGGGAAAATAAAGGAAACTTCCATAATTTATTGAAGAATGTAGAGACACCGCTCTGCGATGACTCCGGTTCGTAACGAGGAAATTCTGTGATTTGAGATGTATCATATTTATCCATAATCAAGACTTTATTGTTAAATATGTAATTGTAAACATTGAATTGTTTCACAAAATCTCCTTTCGTATTATTTTGTGATTGCCAATGTCAATATGACATGTCACGATGACGTTTATTGGTCATTTCTGGACGAATGGAAACAGCTGATGCAGTGTTGCCGTATTGCGGTCATTATGCACAACAATTACATAGACTAGACCTTAATAATTAAAATATTAAGGTCTAGTCTATGTAATTGATAAATAGGTTCCCGAACATTAAACGTTTATATTATGAGATGAGCCTCTAAATAGCAAAAACCTTGAGTTTCGCAAGGATAACATAATGAAACGCATGATCGTAGTACATGACAAAGGAAAAATGAGAATGACGTTTGACTGCCAAACGTTTGACAAATAAAATAAGCTGCCAATTCCGTCAGTAGTACTGTCAGTGACTGTGATAGATTTACCAAAATCTGAGTGGATGATCATTCCGAAATTAATTAATTAAACTTCCTGCTTTTCCTGCTACAATACGAGTGATCCTCTCTGTGAAACATTAACCAAAGAAATTGTCTCTTCAATAACAATGGGTGAAGTATCTCTGGAAACTGCGGCGTACGCTAAAATTATCTTACATGCGGCCAAATATCCCCATTGCGCTGTGAATGGTGTTCTCTTAGCGGATGGCACTAAAATCAGAGACGGAGCTAAGAATCAGGACTTAGATATTGTGGACACTATCCCCTTGTTTCACCATAGCCACTATTTGTCACCAATGGCAGAGATAGCTTTGACCCAGGTAATGCACCAAATAATCTAGGTTACGATTTAAGAACTCAGTTTGGGGATTTAATCTTAATGTCGCAGATATTTGTTTATCCCTTTGACTGATTGGTCAACTTGTATAAGTACCTATGTTGTCAATTGCATTATGATCTGCCTTGTTTATTTATCTAAGGAATGTAAACAAATCATGAATTTGCTATATCACAAGCAAGCAATTTCCTCTTTATAGGTTTGGTATATATTATCCAAAACCATTCATTTTCATCTGTTCACAAATATGCACTTTTAAAATATCAAAATAGTAAAAAATAAAAATAATTTAAATATAAAATATTAAATTGAAAAGTCTGTGGAGGATGCTAGGTGGATCTCTTAATTCCATTTGTTTCATTGGTTATTATTGTTTTTGATAGATAGAGACTGTGGCGCAAGCAAATAACCGTGTGATAGCTGGTTATTATGCAGCCTGTGAGAACTTCAAAGACAATACTGTAGAAAAATGTCCAGGGCAGAAGATTGCTGAGAAAATTGCTGAGCATTTCCCATCAGCAGTGTTCATTGTGGTAAGTAAATAGAAGCTTTAGAAAAAAGTGGTGGTGACCTGCAGGTTTAGGCACCCACTTCTCATGCATGAGGAAGCGAGTTCAAAACCTAGCAAGTACCAATGTGACTTTTTCCGAGATGCATGTTATTTGTAAGATTATTTAGACACCATCAACACAAGGTGAAGAAAAACATTGTGGGGAAACCTAGAATTATAATTTCTAATTGCAAGTTTGAAATTGGCAATCTACCTTGAGCAAGTGTGGTGATTAATGCTCAAACCTCCATGTGAGAAAAGGTTTTTGCTCAGCACTGGGCACTTAAAGGCTGATGATGATGATGATGATGAAATAGAAGCTTATTCACACAAAAATAGAAGCTTATTCTTGGCTTGTAATAACAAAGGTGCTGTTAGAAATCCTCATGTTTAGAATAAATTTTATATCCACAACATAATCACCAGCTTCCCTAAGTGCCCACTACTAAGCTCCCACATGCAGATTGGTGATTTAAAACCTATTAATAGAAAAAAAATATGTCCAGGTTTACTCATTATAAAGTACTAATCAGGTTTTAAAACTGCACCCATTCCACGCCATTACTATCACGTGGTTATTGTCTGTTCTCCAGGTGGACAATAAGAGGATGTTGCAACATCTAGACACTCCTGCCATTAAGCTGCACAAGTTATCAGATGGAAAGTGGAAGCTCAAGGATGCAAACAAAGTCATGTTCCGTAAGTTATCAGATATTATTATTTTCTGATAGAAAAAAGTAGTATGTGAAGACCAATAGTATCTCTTTTTAGATATTTATGTTAAGTCCAATGCGGGTTTTTGATACTTTATTTGTATCATATACTTTATTGTACACATAGGATTTCTTATAAACATTGAGTGTACAATGGGCGATTTACACTTTGTCTGCCGCCAGGCGGCGCTTCGTATGTGTCGGGTCCGTATCAGATCAAAGTATCGAAAGCCCTCATTCAACTTGGATACATCCCTGGGCTGAATTTAATATTTGAAAACCGGCCATGCCCAAAACACATACTTGATCATTAATTTAATCTTTCCAGAGACTCCATATGTTTTGGAGACAGTGTCACACTTACTGCAACGCGGTGTCCAAAAGGATTTAGTGGACTTTGACAATTATTTGGACGATTTGTCCCAGGATTGGACCAATCTTGGCATTGAGAAGTTGATTGCTAGCATCAATGCTTCTAACACAATAGACTGTAAGGAGGATGAAAAACTATTCCGATAATGCTAAGGGAATATTCTATTAGTACATTTAGTGAAATAATTTCTGTTTTAGCACAATGTAAGCCTGAGTAAGTGCCTAGTGCTTGTTTGCCCTAAGGTGATTCTGATTGGCCAGCTCCAAGTTAACCAATCAATCACAGGGATAAACAAGGTAACCTTTAAATCGTGTTACATTAACAACTCGCACTACCAAAAGAGTATATAAAAACGAACGTCATTACACCCTCTGTAATGAAAAACAGAAGAGCTCGCATATTTGTCTGATACATAATTAATTGGAGCTCAATATGTTTGCTCACATTGTGCTATTATTTAAGAAATAAACTACTTTTAGGTACGTGTATAGTTAAGTCTAGACACATTTATTATATGAAAAAGTAATGGTAACAATTTGTATCATTCCCTACATACACAGAACGTAATTTTTATGGGCTACCAATGTTTATCAGGAATGTATGTGAGCGTTACGCATTTTTAATTAAAACAGTTGGAGAGATTAAAGTTACCTACTTATATCTTGAGTTATTGTGCGCATTATAATAGAATGTGGCGTGAAACAACGCCATTGTATTTTCAGCCGTATAAGGTTACCGGAATCCCAAACCTTGAATCTGTATTTTCAGTCCCCAAAATGCCGAAATCGCACTTTTCAACTCCTGTTGTGCATGGTACTGATTGCTTACCATCAGGTGTTGCGGCTGCTTGTTTTCCGCCCTAGCCCATCATAAAAATGTATGTTTAATGTGCAATATAATGTTATTATACGCAATTTTTTGTCCTATGCACGTTTTATTTCCTGAGCAAATTCCAGGAATTCCTTATAGTTTTAAGTTAATTGTTATCATTTACATTCAGCTGTAGTGAGCAGGGAAGTGGGCCAGGACTAGTGTATAAACTTCTCATGCAACTCGCGCTGCCCAGTTCTACCCAAGAGAGCGATTTTTAGTAAGGACATCAAAGGAACGGCAGGGTGTGTTTATATTCTGCTCAATCGTTCAGAAATACAGCGCGGACGCTGCAATAATTTGAATGCCTGCCGTTGCCGAAACGTATCCTGCCTCAGCATTTAGGGAATAGGTATCGCCGGCAGCGTCATCGGTTGAATGTAAATAAGCCATTATAAATTAGCCATTTAAGTCGTATGATTTAAATGTCCTGTGTGAATGTGTAAACCGACTAAATGATGTAACAAAGAAATGTATTGTAAAACTGATTGAAAAAGAGTAACCATGGAGTTTCTTGCTCGTTCTTCTCCATAGGAATCTACACTTTGGAACGAGCAAATAGCTTCACTAGAGGACAGACGGACAGACTGACACGCTTAATTTTAAAGCTGATTTTATATACTTTTTTCCTTTTTTGCTTGCTTGACGTTCAAAAGTGCCTACTGTGGTCTAATTGAAATAAATGATTTTTGACTTTTGACTTGACTTATGTTATACAACGTATAATTTATTATGAAAGCTTTGTATATAAGCGGATATTTTGACTTCATTGAAGCATTTATGGGGTATGGTACCATGTAGGTTATTTATTTTTTTAAGTATTTCAATATTAGCCCTTTGAAATATCACTTACAAATTAATTTACTGTACCTAATTATGATGGTTATAAGTTGTGTATTGATATTTATTCAATTAAATAAAAATTATGGTTAATATTTGAGTATTTTTATTTAAAGACTGTTAAAGTAGTCTTCGATCAACTTTTTGCATTTGTTCATGCCACTCAGATCCCCAGCTTTGCCTTGAAACTTTCCATTTTTGAAAGCACCTTTACCTTTCAGTAGTTCTGTGATCCTGAAACAGAAGTTTTTGGGTAACTATACATATTTTTGTATATTGCAATTTGATAAATGTCAGGCGAAGGCAAAGGATGCAGGTTGTAACTACGGAAGGCCTATTATCAAAATAGGATTAATCTATAGTATCTTGTACCATTTTAAAAGGCCATAATGCTTATCTTCTCTATAAGATATACAATACAACATTGTATTGTTAAAATCTCTCAAAAAATTCAAAAATAAATTCCAAGATGGCAGTCAGAGTACAATAGCAGCAATACCACTAAATTATTTGAAATTAATATTTTGTTGTCCACCCCATCCCATACATGTCCAAAAAGTAAAAAAAAACCTCTAAAAGTGCAAAACTATAACATTTTAATGGACCGTAAAGGGATTGTTGGCTATTTACAACTTACTTTGTCCCTAAAGCATTGCAGTGTTCCTCGGGGCCTTGTATAATGATCTGTCCCTCTTTAGGTTTATCAGGTTCTTCTGAAGCAAAGAATAAAAATAGGCCTTCGCCCTCCAAGCCCTTAATAACAGCTCGGTTGAACTCAGGGGTAGCCTCTTTCTTAAACATAATCACGAACTTCGGTTTTGGTGTAGCACTTTTTATTTTCTCTATTTCAAACTGAGCGAGTTCTTGCAGGACCGTTTGTAAATTCTTGTTGGTTATTTTCAGGTTCTTTTGAAGTTTTTGAACTAAATCCTCGTGTCTGGTTGGTTCGTTTCTGTAGGTAATATGTAAAGTTAAAATATTAATTTATTGTCGAATCATATCAATTATTGCCTCTATTCTAAAACGACATCTCAGAATCACCACCACGACCTATATTGGGCAGCAAGGTGACGAGGATTAAGGCTAACCGCTTCTCATGCATGAGGGTGCGGATTCGAAGCCTGGCAAGGTGACTTTTCCGAGTAATATGTACTTTCTATGATTATGATTTAGACACCACTGGCATGACATACGGAATAGAAAACATATCACTTTAAATTATAACTTTGATATCGCCAATCCACCTTGAGCAAGCATGCTGATTAATGCTCAAACCTTCTCTGTGTGAGAAGAGGCCTCTGCTCAACAGTGGGCCCTTATAGGCTGATGATGTGATGTGACGCAAAAAAGAATGATTAAGAATTTTTCCATGCTGGAGTTGAACCAACGATAAGTAATTGATACAAAGAGTACGATCGGAGCTATTATGCGCGATAAAGTAATAATATAACAATGAAACTAAAGGAACTCACTTGAGTAATCCAGTTAAGGCCTTCTCTCTGTCCAGCATCAATTGGAAAGTCCTCAGAACTCGGTTGCCTACTAAGAACTTGAGATTAGTTTTGCCCTTTTTCCCTGGCTCGGTGCCAGTTAACTTTATACTCTGAAGTTGGCTAAAAAACAAAAATCAAACATGCTAGTCAGTTTTAGAACTATGTATTACATTACCTATGTGGTATCTTATTGTATACTAGCTACTGGCGCGCGGTTACACTCGCTGCTTGGCTCCATTTGATTGTAGCGTGATGTTTTATAGCCTATAGCAATCGGGACCATTGTAGCTATGTATCAGTGAAAGAATTTTGTCAATCCGACCAGCGGTTCCAAAGTTTACCCCCTACATACAAACTTACAAATTTTACCTCTTTATAATATTAGTATAGACTACGCATGTTTAATAGATAACAGAACTAACTCATAAAATAGGGTATTTCAAAATTGAACCTTGTTATTGTAACATATTTTTTATGATTAAGGTATTTTCTTTTTTGATTTAGGCGTCTTTTATTTTAAGCATCCCAGTAGACGATCCAGAAAACTTCGTACCGGCTCAAAAGCTTTTAATATCTAATATTACTTGCAGAGATTGTCGTGGTGGCCCGGAGGCTAAGGAGCCCGCTTCTAGTGTTGCCCAAATTCAGTCTTGGTCTTGTTCTTGCGTTTTTGCAAGACCAAGAACAAGACCGCGTATTTTTAGCAAGACCAAGACCAATACTGACCGTGCAAGACTTGAGCAAGAACAAGACATAGCCTGCAAGACTCTTGCGTCTTGCAGCTACGACTTAGCGCTATTTCACTGAGTAGTTAGGTGTAACAGTTCGGTGTATAGGTAGGTACGCTTAGGAAATCTATGAGACGCAAAAAACTGTATCAAAGAATATGAAAAACTGGACCTATGCGCATTACGACTAATGCCATAAACATAGCGAATAAAAAATATCTATTAAAATCAAACTGAGTGCATGCATAGTTATGTTTTAACCACCGGCACTTTGATAATGCGGCATCAAAGGATTTGTACGTACTTCTCAAAGAAATTTGCCGCTTTTCGGAAGTACATGGCTATAATACACGCGCCGGCGGCTTTTTTTGAAATCTAAAACAATCGTTGCCGCCACGCCGAAATCATAACATTTGACACTATTTGATTGCCGCCATAGGGCGTAGGTATACTCATGGAAAATAATTTAGAATTTTAAGAGTACCTACAGGTGTTCCAAAGAATAAATAAATTTCAGAGTTTTTAGAATGAAAATGAATACATTATACTGATCACGCAAGTAGTATTATGATTAGGGTAAAGTGGCAAGGATAGGTAGTAGATGTCATATTAATTCATTCTAGTAAGTACATATTATAATATTGTTTACTTATATGGTTTTAAACTAATTACTTAGGTACTATTATTGTACATTTAGTCATCATGTTTCTTAAGTTTTTACAAGAAAAAATAGCAAAAAAGTCAGTTTAATAAATATTGTAGCCACTTTTAAATATACTTGAAAGTGATGAGAGGTTATTTTCTTAAGCATCATTAGTAATTAGAAAACATAGAAATAGGTTCAGTGATGAGTCAGCCAGATGGTTGCTTTGTATTAATTCTTGGTCAAAAAAAATGATATAAAGTATCATAACCTAATGATAAAGCTGTTGATTTGTGTTGTATTTTATTTTTTATTCAAAAAGTTGAGGGTTCAATCTCTTTCTAGACAGATAAGTATTGTTCTTTAAAATACAGTCAAGTTATTTTAATTAATTTGTTTTTTTACATGTTTTAGCAAATGTAAGCTTATAAATCATAAATGTTTATTAAGAAACAGTTAAGTACTTCCATGGAAGACGACATATAGGTCAGTTGATTTTTCGAATTTCTTTTCAAATCTTCAGTTATTTATTAATCTGCTTGATCTTTACTATGGCTATGTTAATTCAAGCTCACAATGTTCCAATTTTAATACGTTTTTCTAAGATTTAAAGTAAACTTTAATAAATAGTTATTGACTAATGGGTAATTGCAAGACTTGCAAGACTCTTGCTGCAAGACCAAGACCAAGACCAAGACTGAGAGCGCAAGACCAAGACCAAGACCAAGACCAGGTGTATAGCCGCAAGACCAAGACCAAGACTGGCTAAGTTTCGTCTTGTTCTTGCATTTGGGCAACACTACCCGCTTCTAATGCACGAGGATGTGGGTTAGGGACCTGGCAAGTACCAATGTGACTTTTTCCGAGTTATATGTATTTTTTGTGATTATTTAGACACCACTGACATACGGTGAAGGTAAACACTGCGAGGAAACCTGGACTTATAATTTCTAATTATAAGTTTGAAATCGCCAACCCGCATTGAGCAAGTGTGGTGACCTTCTCCGTGTGAGAAGAGGCCTTTGTTCAGAAGTGGGCACTTATAGGCTGATGATGATGGCTTGCAGAGCAGTTTGTAAATGTGTTGCCTGTTAAGTCGCCTATTATCTCTCTCTCTCTCGTTCGATAATGCCTCTCTCTCATTCGATAATGCCTCTCTCTCGTTCGATAATGCCTCTCTCTTTCGATAATGCCTCTCTCTCGTTCATGCTGCGCTCTCGCTTGCGGGTCGCGACAATGAGCGTAACGGGACAATGACGTCATGATTTTCGTGCCAAGTTAATAGCAGCCGAGTTATTAGACTTACATCAAACACAAACGAGTGTGTCTCTAACCTTACCTGAGATTAGTGACATGAGTACCGCAGCACATATTCTCGTCTATGTTGCCCATGCATATGATTCTGATCGTCTCCATACAATCCTTTGGCAAACCCCGAGTGTGGGCCTATAGAACAGTTAATTAAAAAAGTATCTTATTAGCACACCAGTTATTTGTGAGTTCCGTGTAATGGGAATAAAATAATTTTTTTGTACAGGTTCAGGTCACATACAAAAAAAAAACGGGTGGTTGTGGGAGAGCCATGCTTCCCCTCCCCAACCTTCCTAAACCCCAAAAGGTCGGCATTGGCACTCGTAATTCGTTTGTTGTTGCGGGTGCCCATGGGCGGCGCTGATTGCTTACCATCAGGTAATCCGTGTGGTCGTTAGCCGCAGACTTATCAAATAAAAAAATACCAGTTACCTACTTACCTCATTTAGATCTGGGTCGTTAGCTTTACAGAACTTTACAGTGACGGGTATAGCTTCCTGAATTAATTGGTTGCATCTATTTTCAGTTGCTTTAATAACTTCTTCACTAACTTTAGTTGAGTCCAACTCCACGTAGCTTTCATCCAAACCCAGCCACCAGCTTGTGGTAGGTAAATTATGTTCTTTCTCTAAAATAGCTGACAATAAATGTTGACCTGAAAAAGGCAGTTGAATATTGTTTTCAATAATTTTATCAGAAGTTAGACAACCGCACTTTTTTAAATTAATCCCGTAATTTCTTTTTATTTACAGTTTTCAATGAATCCTTTTTTTTCTCTACAATTATCAATACAAATATGAATATAAATACGAATAATACATATCTACTAGCTACTCTCGCGTTGCCCATGCGTTCCATTTAATCGTAGCGGGATTTTTTATAGCCATTACGAAACAGTTTTCAGAAATCGTCTTTTTTTCTCTTTTCATGTTTTTTATTGAAGTATTACTTATTTCATTTAGATTTTTTTTGAAAAACATCGTATGATACAATACACGTGTGTATTGATGACTAGCTACTCTCGCGCGGTTTCACCCGCTGCTAAACTCCATTTGATCGTAGCGTGATTTTTTATAGCTTATAGTACCTACTCAGGAACATTGTAGCTATCTATCAGTGAAAGAATTTTGCCAATCCGAATAGCGGTTCCAAAGATTACTTCCTACCTCCCACATACAAACTTTACCTCTTTATAATATTAGTATAGATAAAGTTAAAAGGAATTTATGAACGTTTGATTATTTTTTTAATTATATTTATGGTTTTACAAATCGAACTAATTTATTTTTGACTGCGGAAACTACTCGATTTTGTATGAACTCGCCACATACATAATTATTAGGCGTCATTATGTCTCACATAATATATTCAAATAAACGAATAAAAGTGTGATCATTTTAAAATTCAAATTTATTTACGTTTGACCTTGAAAAATACCTATTTCTAGTAGATAAAAAGTTAAAACAGACTAAGCTAAATTAGTTCAGTTAGAAAATTTGGTGCACAGCATTTATAGATGAGTGTACTAAATTAATAATTTCCTTTCGTGACCATATTTAATATATTATGGTTCATGGTCCTTATACTCGTACAGTATAGTCTGAAATACGATAATATTTCTATGGCATATAAAGGCAAATAAAGGATCGAATGATTAGGCGTCACGGGCGTCACATTGATATTTGCAATACCTAAAGAAAATACAAGTGCAGTTGCAGTCTTCTGATGGCATTGCCTACATATCTCATGGGTTTCGGAGTTGGGCCAATTAGGGCTAGAAACCTTTCTTACGAGGTATCTTTATTGATATATATATCGCTCGGCAGATGGCGCTGATTGCTTAAGAAGCATGTGATCTTGGAAACGGCCCTAATGATTCCGCTAAAATTTGTTATGTCGGAGTTTTCGGGGAGGGTCCGCTGGTGTGTATATAAGAGAGGTCACAAGATGACCTGTGACCTGACCTAGCAGTTTTGGGTTTGCAAAGGTATAATGCCAAAATTTGGACTGCACGGTTGGCGCAATGGCGGCCAGTCGCTGCCGTGCAACGTGTCGCGGGTGCGATTCCCGCAAGGAACAACCCTTGTGATCCACAAGACCACAAATTATTGTTCCTGTGAAATTAAAAAAAAAGTTCCGATGTATAAGTGAAATTAATTGTTTGTTACAGGAGACAATTAGATATGATTCATTCGTTAAAAAAAGGAAAAAAGATAGATTTGTCCACTATTAAATGGATGTAATAATACAAACCGCATAAAACTCCGTTGTGTGGTTTTAAAGATTGAAACACACAGATAAACAGAAAGAGACTTCATGATACCTGAATGCTGCTGCATATGATCAAAACGTCTGTCCCAATTGATCTCCTGTTCCACCACGGTGCCCACTTCAATTGGCTCTCTCGTGAAATGTAGGGCCTCATCACCTTTACGCAATACTTGAACAACTTCTGTGTCATTCAGCCGACCAACATCATGCGGCTTAAACAACAAAATATTACTTACTTAAATCTATTAACTTATTATTATTACAGTATGTTGCAAACGGAAAGTAATTTTAGGGCTTGTATGTACTCTTAAATTAAACTAGCTACTGCCATGTGTTTTCGTCAGTTGCTAGGCTCCTAATGGTCATAAGTTAATGTTTTTTAGCCTATAGCACTAAGAAACATTGAAGCTATCTAGCTTTAAAATATTAGAATTTATAGATTAAACCTCTAATATAATAAAAACAATCAGCAGAAAATTAAAGATTGAGGTAAAATTTAAAATAAATTAAAAAATTTTTTTTGCAACTGAAACAAAAAAAATATTAAATCCTTAAACAAATCTGTTCCTTAGAGGTTGCAGAATGTTATGGATACAATAGCAATATTCCATGGAGACCTAGGTATACTTAAAAGAATGTATACAATATATACAGTAAATATTTACTTGTCCACCTCCAGCAGGAAAAAGTATAGTGTTCTCCAGTGTAACTTGATAGCCTTCAAACTGGAAGGTCTTTCCGTATTCCACCAGCGGCTCATTGGTGGGCTCACATTTTGTCACTTTCGAAGTAAACTAAAAAAATTACAGGTCCCTGTAGTCACAGTCCACTTTATTGTTTTAAATTTGGAATTGGAATTAGATAGTAACAAAATTTGCTGCCTGTTTTTTTATTACAGTTAATATTTCATTTTCAATGAGCTCAACTCTTTAATGAAAATGATTTATTAACTAGACTAGAGCATTCAATTATAATAAAATAACTTATTACATAAAAATATATATTGATCTACACTGCACTCATTTGTTTAGTGTATAACCTAAGAAATTGTTACCAGAATTTAAATTGAAAAACAAGGCAACCTTTTAACAATCAGACAGCATTTCCCATACTTACTGTATTTTCAGTACTCTGTAGATTCTTATAAGAATTGTACCTATACTAAAGTATTTTTCAAAATAAATAAACCATTATCTTATCTGAATGGACGGACAGTTACTACGAAACTTACCTTCTTTAAAAAGCTATCTTCTTGACATTTGAAAACCATTGTATTTTCTTTGAACTTTACAGTTACGTGGATGATGAAATAATCAATTAATACGGCAATAGCCGAATTGTAGGTTACGGTGATTATTTTTTTAATGACAAGTATTATCTGATACGTATAATATCTTGTGCGTATCTTATCTTTTTACTATTTGTATTTCATTTAATGAAGATAACAAAGTAATTAAAGTTGCACCTAACGTATTTGAACTCTTACTCTAAAAAAAAAAATAACTTAAGCTGCAATGACGTTTAACGACAGTAAAATACTTTTTTGGCAGAAGTTGTCACAAGGTCCCAGCTGTGCGATGACAGAAGCTTTTTTTGACTGTGACAAAAAAAGTTGGGGCCTTGTCTTGGGTTCGTACCCCCTTCGGGGTCCTTTCATATATCTTTATTTTATTAGTTACCTAGCCTAGATAATATACACCAAACTTAATTATCTACAATAATATTGTTTTTTTGAATTCGTCAAGGTTAGGTTGTAAAAACGTGTACTTTGAAGTAAATACACGTACCTACATAAATATATGAATTACTTGTTTTTTGTTAGGGGATAACTTTTTTCACCCATATTGAGGCGAGAGGCCACGGTGAGCTACTCTTGTACGTCGTGCGCAGATCCGTCCTTACAGGCCTTAGGGTGGCCGGAAATCGTCACTCAATTCCCGACGCCCAGTGACGCCTACTGCGGCGGATGGGGCTTAAGGGTTTGCGAGCATCACTGTTTAGCAGAAAGAAGACACGGTTTACCAGTTCCTCTCGCTCTCACTTTGCACCATGGTCTCGACTAAAGCCGAATGCCAGAGGTCACTGCCGGCACCCGTCGGGGGGTTGCGACGAATGCTTCGGCGATACCCGCCCCTCCGACACATGGGTTATTGGAGGAACACCGGGTTGGTTTTTAGTCAGTAAGAGTCTGACAGTACCCTTCGCCCTTCCCGAGGGCGATGGGTCTCCATGAGGATTTTCCAACCCGACACCAAAAAAAAAAAAAAAAGAAGGTCACTGCCGGCAACCACTTTCCTGAGGACACGCCAGTGCTTAGCCCAAGCAGGGCACACCGCCACACTATACACCTTCGTGTCCTATGTGTGGTCCTCACAATGTTCCTTCCACCACTGGTGGCTCTATCAATAAATAACTGCGATGTGAATTTGCAACGTGTAGGTACAATTGCGACAAAAATTGCTGAGGTGCGATTAAGTGCAACTAGGAATGATCACGTGAATCGTGGAAGGCCCTTTTTTATTATTTCTTCTACGACCGTCTACCGTATTGAAAGTATTTTGAAAAGAGATTTACCTACAGAAAAACCTGGCTGAAAAAAGGCACTCTAGAGAACGCTTAGGAAAAATGGGATCAAGAAAGGTTGAAGAAATTCTTAAGATAGTGAGATCCTTGGTTTTCTGGTTTTCTACGTTGTCAACGTCGCATAAGTTTTGAGGGTAGATATGTTCTATAAAAATACTCAGTACGGAACTATACGGTAGAATAATGATAAAAATATCATTACTATGAGACACTAATGCTTAAGGCAAACTATAAAAAAAAAACAATAAAAAAAACCTTTCTACCTTTTACATTTTCCATGCATTACCTACCCATTGGATTGGGATACCTACTTAGATGTTACGTTTGTGTTCATAGGATTTGAAATAGTAATATAACATTGTGGCTCGAGTTACATCGGGGAAACTCGCCGCAACATCACAACCAGACTAAAAGAACACATACGCAGTGTGAAAAACCGAGACACCCATACATCGGCGGTAGCTGAGCATGCTTGTAGTACGGGCACGGCTCACTTCCTCCGTTTCGACAAGGTCTCAGTACTGGCGAGGGAAAAATACTTCGTACCGCGGAAAGTACGTGAGGCCATCGAAATAAGCCGGCGTCCGAACTTCAACAGAGACGGTGGCTGGGCATTACCACCTGCCTGGAAGCCGAGTCCGAAATCTGCATCAGACTGCACTGTTGCGGGTCTGGAGTGTGACACAGCGCGGTATGTAACACTGTTTTTGCCGACCCGGGATTCGAACCCAACACCAACGCAGCTGCAGGCGGGCGAGTCTAGCGTGCCAACAGTGTCGCGCGCGCCGTCGCTGCCAACACCACGGCTAGAAGAAAGTGCGCGTGAATCACGGCAGAGGGCGCGTTGGGCGCGCAGACTCGAGTAGCCAGTAGCAGCGCGACGGTCGCCGAGTCGCGTCGCGGAATGCTGCTCATGAATATGGGCCTCTAGCATGGCTTGAAACTAGTCGAGTATCTCGTCAAATTATTACGTGAGTAAGCCGAAAACATAATAAATAATTTAGAATGTCTCACGAAAGTTATAATAAAAATAAAGTAATATAACAATTAAAAATATATGAGTAGGTATATTATTTATTTATTTTTTAGTATGTAAATAATTCTTGATTGCCTGATCTAGAACAGACACAGTGAAGTCAACGTCCTCTTTATTTATACACATCGGCGGCTTTATTCTTAATACCTGCAATAGGAATAATAATACTTATTATAGTACTTAAATAAACATTTGCAAAAAAAGTGCACATCTACCTACCTACCCAAAGAACAATAAAAATAAGGTTGCCAGTACCTAGAGGATTCATTTAATCCGCCAAGTTTTTTTAACTGGTCCGCACTAGGTCTCTGCGTTGTTTCGCCGTGTGATTACGGTTAATGCAGGCCCAATACTTTACCTCCCTCAATCCTAAAATCTCCTAATCCCTAATCCCCAAAAGGTCGATAACGCACTCATAACTTCTCCTGTTGTTGCGCGTGTCAATGGGCGGCGCTGATTGCTTATCACCGGTTAATGGTTTGCTCGTTGCCTTACGAAAATCTCAATTATCAATAAATAAATATCGAAAAACACTCACATTATTCCATCGGCCTCCACGACCAATTAGGACGCCCATGTCCTTCATATCCTCATGAATTAAGTTTACTTCAGGAATGGGCAGGGGCACCTTGGTACCGGGTTCAACGAACTCAATTCCCAACATCAATCCCTTTCCGCGCACATCCCCAATGATCGGGTGTTGTTTTTGCAACTCCATCAATTGTTCAACAAAATATTTTCCGACGACTTTGCAATTATTTTGTAATCCTTCTTCCTCGATTACCTGTAATTTTTATTAATTTTTATTTTACACCTTAAAGTTGACTGTTTATAGACCACCACAGACGGGGCCCCATAGGGCTGATGTTCAGCCGGGGTTGCGGGGTAAGCACAATGAGGCACCGTGACCTCGGCCTACAGCAGGATAAGGAACAGGGGGGTTTTTAGTCAGTCAGAGTCTGACACTCCCTCCCGCCCGGCCCTAGGCGGGAGAAGTCATTTGATGATTTACCCCTCACAAAAAATAGTTGACTGTCTAATCTACTATAGGCGAATGGTCTCTCTGTTTTATTTTAGTGGTAAATGTTATTGGATTTTGGTTTTCTCCATCATAAGCACATTCAGTCCTTCTCTTTCTGCCCACAAATCTTCTGGTAAATATTTACTACGATAATAATGACATTTATATACGATTTTTCTCACTTGACGGTAATATTTCAAATAGCTATAATACTGAAACATATGACCAGCCTATAAGTGCTTACTGCTGAGCAAAGGCCTCTTCTCACACGTAGAAGGTTTGATTTCAGGCGATTTCAAACTTAGAACTAGAAATTATAAGTCCAGGTTTCCTCCCGATGTTTTCGTTCACCGTATGTCAGTGGCGGTTAAATAATCATGTACAGAAAGTACATTTAACTTAGGAAAAGTCACATTGGTACTTGCCGCAGGTTTCAAACTATGCTACTGAGTATGCAAATGAAATTTGGTAGAAATCAGTAAAGCCGTTTTGGGGGAGTAAGGTAACTAACACTGTGACAAGAATTTTATCTATACTTATATTATAATGAGGTAAAATTTTTAAGTTTGTATGTAAGGTGTAATCTTTGGAACCGCTGGTCGGTTTGCCAAAATTATTTTGCTGATAGATAGCTACAATGTTCCTGAGTGCTATAGGCTATAAAACACCACGGGTGAAACCGGGCGAGAGTAGGTTGTATTCATATAAAATGTTGTCAATCTTGCTAACTTCTTGCGCCTTGGTCTCATTACAGAGTTGCATCAAGAGGGCACGACTTTTAACTACCAAGCGAGATAACATTGACTTCGTTTGTATAGCATAATATCATAACAACTTGTTTTTAGTTTTGTCGAGAGAATGGATGCATGATTTAGGTATTAACTTATGTACTTTACTAAACTAGCTGTTTCGCGCAGCTTCACCCTTATCCCAAGATAACTTCTTTCCGTAAACGCACAAAAACAAACCTTGTAGCTATCTATATTGTAGTAAAAGAATTTTGGCAATCCGACCAGCGGTTCCAAAGATTACCCCTATTTATAACTACTTAATTTTACCTCTTTATAATATTAGTATAGATAACATGTAGTTTTTTCTTTTCTTCTCCTCAAATAATGTCTTCTGATTTATTTCGTTGCGGGATCCAAGACAGTCATTCATGTCCCTGAGACGCGCCGGACTTCAGTGTTCTGGTGTTTTCATGGTTGTATCAATTGTAGATCCTGGCTTACAGGAGTTGCAGCGGTTTTAGGAGGTTGCAATGGGTTTGTCCCATTAAAAAAATAACATGTAGACTCACATCCAGAACAGCTTTGCCGACAGCCGACGCCATGGGGTTCCCGCCGAACGTGTTGAAGTATGTGGCGCTGGCGTGGGCGGCAGCAATCTCCTTGGTGGTGACCACGGCAGCCATGGGGAAACCATTGCCAATCCCCTTAGCCATTGTCACTATGTCCGGTACAACGTCGTGGTTCTCGAAACCCCAGAACTTATCGCCTGTCCTCCCAAAGCCTGTTTGAACCTGGTAAAAACAGGAAATATAATAAAATGGAATAAGAAGTGGATTTCAATATCAGCAAAGCTAAAATTTATCAAATTTGTCGGGAAGTATGAACTCCTACTTAAATTGCAGAGGATTTTGGCCAGCTGTAGTCGAAATAGATAGTCGATGTAGATAACAAGTGTGGGAGAGCCATGCTTCGGCACGAATGGGTCGGCTCGACCGGAGTGATACCACGGCCTCCCAGAAAACCGGCGTGAAACAACCACAGCGTTGTGTTTCGCCGTGTGAGTGAGGTTACCGGAGGCCCAATCCTTCCACTCCCCCAATCCCTCCTAAATCCCTAAATCTCCAAATCCCTAATCCCTAAAAGGTCGGCAACGCACTCGTAACTCTTCCGTTGCGAGTGTCCATGGGCGGCGCTGATTGCTTACCATCAGGTAATCCGACAGCCGTTTGCCGACCTATTAAAAGAAAAATCAGGATGATGATGATGATGATGGCGCACCTTAAAACTAGGGTCGTGCCTGAACCGAAATGGCACAGTGGGGGATCCCGATAAGGGGTTCAAGTACGGAATCTCCTGTATTTAGCGGACCTAGTGCCACATGCTAATCACACAGATATCTAATTTAAGTCTGCTTCTTTTAAAGGTTTCTCTTTCTCATAAACTGTAGGTATACTCACTTCATCAGCTACGTAAAGTCCTCCATATTTCTTGACGAGTTGATGTGCTTTCTTCAAATAACCCTTTGGGAACTGTACAGTGCCGTTGACCCCTTGAATGGACTCCGCAAACAAAGCTGCCAGTCGTCCCTTCGGTATCGAATTTTCTAGAAGCTGTTGAATAAAAATGTGTTACTTATAAACGATTCCGTTACTATTTAAATTAATTATGTAGATATACGTATATATATCTAGAGTAGGAGAGCCAAGCATCGGCACGAACGGGCCGACTCGACCGGAGTGATACCGCGGCCCCACAAAAAATAGGCGTGAAACAACCACAACATTGTGTTTCGCTGTGTGAGCGACGTTACCACATCTCCCCAATCCCTGCAAACCTGCAACCCACTCATAACGTTTCTGATGCTGTGTCCATGAGCAGCGCCAATTGCTTACCATCAGGTAATCCGCCTGCGACGCACAAAAAAAAACACTTATGTTTTTTTCTTATGCTTCTTAAATAGTAGATAATAGCGACATGTCCACCCAGTCAGACGGTCGAACTTATGTAACTCTTTGCTGGGGAATTTAACACACTTGACAACGAACCAGTCGTCGTTTGATAGTATACTCGAAGAAAAGCTTCCAACTACAAGGTGGAAAGAAGAGGACTATTTACCTCATTGAGCTGGTGAATATATTTGTCAGCTGTGACGCAATCGCCTGGACAAGAACAAGCGCCAGGCACCTGGGACAGTGAATCACGACACCCTCCCCAAATACCTCTAAAAGGGTCTGGTAACATTGTCTGTAAAAGACACAAACAAAATATACAAAAAATGTACTCAATTACCATTACCGTCTTTATACCAGCCGCTGCTAAAACAGGCCATCCCCAAGGACATTAAGATCACTATACAACGGCTTCTTGCTAACATCATCAGGTCCTCAGTCGTCTCGTATGAGTCAGCATCATCATTATCATCACCCATTTCCGTCTATGCCTATTGCCCCTCCATAGAAAGTTACTAAGCTCTCTACCCAACCTTGCAGAAATTGTCACTCCACCTAGCTGGCGGGCGCCATACCTTACATTTGTCTAGATGTGATCCCCAATCCAGATTCCAACCCTCCTCATAAATGTACTTGCAAGTTCTCTGGTATTCTCGTGGCCTTGGGTGGCGCTGATTGCTTACCATCAGCATGTAACTCGCTATACATTTAAAAAAATAACATATTTAAATATAATATTGATAACGTATTGCGTATGTAGTTAACTCAGAATACAGAACAAACCAGAAGGCGTCATCGCGCTTCAAACAGAAGCAACTAAAACCATTCTCAACTAGAATAGTATGAAATTTCTACGATTAGTCAATTTTGGCACGTGGCATGCCGTGACGTATTTACGAGTATCAATTTTAATTTCATTATGCCGTCTTGTGTTATTACTACGAGTAAAAATGCGACTGGAATTACGAAAAAAGTGGATAGGATTACATTTCATCTGCAAGCATCGACTGCAATAGTATATTTAATTAATTATTGATTTTTTTTATCGATTTATTTTTCTATGAAAATGATGCGGCCCAATAAAAAGGGCACGGTTAGATTAATTTTGGAAACCATCTAGCCAGAGCATAGTTTGCTCAATTCACTTTGAAGAGATATATTTATGACAAAGGTGGTTTGAAAACAGCATATCCTACTAAGATATATCTATACTAATTATAATGCTGAAGAGTTTGTTTGTTCGGTAGAATGCGCTTATCTCAGAAACTAAGTAAAGTAAGTAGACTTCTAATCTTTAGTTCCGAGTCTAAAGACATATTAAAAAAACTAAACTAGCAAAAGGGAACGCAATAAAACCTTTGTTTTATTTGTTGTATTTATTGAAGCGTTTGTTTTATTTATTGAAGCTTTATTTTATTTATGGTGTAACTAAAATTAACACAGCCAGAAATCGTCAACTTTTATGATACCTCTATGAAATGTGTGAACAACTAGTCTGTTGCATTTATCGTAAGTTTACCTATTTTGTTGGGTTTACTCGTATCTTACCCTCCTGTTGTAAAATTACCCCAAACCATGGGAATTGTTCCACTGTCGGCAACACTACGCGGGTGGGAAGTGCGGCTGGCGGGGGGATTGACGTATTGTTTTTGGACACATTTGACGACATGTAATTATGAGTGAACGCGGATTCTGGTTTGTTCTGTATTCTGAGGTGGTTAAAAAAAAACGAAGTTGCTACTTTATGAAACTACCCTACAGTGTAATTCTATACCGGTAGCACTTTATTCTGAGTAGGTAATGCAGCTTACATGATAAAACCCAGGAGGCACGGGTACTTTCAACCTATAGGACTGAGTGGCGGTCAGTCCCATCAAGGCGGACGAATATCCATGGTAGCTGCTCTGCAAGGAGACCACGTCGAGATTGCCAGTGTAGGCCTTCGCCAGCAGGGTCGCTAGATCATTGGCTTCACTTCCGCTGTTCACCAAGTACACCACCTGGAATTTTAGAGGATACCCTCGTCATTATCAGTTGATTGCACTGTTGGTGGTGCTGTAATGTGGCCATACGACTGCTAAACTTCATTATATATTTTTAGTCTTTTCCTTTAGAACGTACAAATTTAAATTTAGTGCCACGTCACTTACTATGACGTGACGTAACAAGCCCCAGTTCTTTACTACACCTCTCGTCTGTCCGTATATGAGACGCAATTGAAAACACATTGTGTCTCGCTTATATCTCCGCTCCGGCATAATTTCACGATTCACGGGTTATTTCTTTATCCTATATATTTTTAAGTGTGGGAGAGCCAAGCTTTGGCACGAATGAAAACCGAAAACCGGCGCGAAATAACCACAGTATTGTGTTTCGCCGTGTGAGTGTGGTTACCTGAGGCCCAATCCCTCTCCTTACCCATTCCTTCCCAATCCCTAAATATCCGAAACCTTTATCCCTAAAAGGCCGGCAACGCAGTCGTTACTCCATCCAGCGATGTGGGTGTCCATGGGCGGCGCTGATTACTTACCACCAGGTAATCCGTAGGTTAATTTGCAGTCCTACACCTCAAAAAAATCTAAGTAAATAGTTGTTAAAAAAAAACAAAAAGTGGACCATTCAATATTTTTAACTAACTGATAGACAAAATAAATGCTTTCATTTTATAGATTTTCATCCATCCTTGAGATACTTGGAGGTGTTGGTAAGTGTATGAGTACCTAAATCTATGGATGTATACCTAGGTACCATCGATTTACTATTTATTCAGTATAATGTATACCTACCAATTACTTGGTAATTAGATAATCAACAAATTGTACCTACATATTTTGTTATCATCACCACTTTACCTTTCTTATCACAAAATTTCCCAAATACTCACATCAGTATTAATTCAGATAACTAATAGTCATTTGACACAGGGCCGGATCCATTCAGGGGTCGCTACGTAATAGATACATTCCTCAGGAATCCTTTTCTTACACTAATTCTACCAGGTATTATAAATGTGAAAGTATGTGAGAATACATGGGTTTCTTATTCTTTGACGGAGGATAGACCGATTTGGTTGAAATTTGTTGTGAAGTTAATTAATTCCCTGGATTAACACATAGGCTAGGTACTATCTTATCCACCACGCGGGCGGTACCAGTTGCGGAAGCAAGTTTTTTTATATTTCTAAGCGTCTTCAAGTTTATAAAGTTGGAACATTGTAGGTATACATGTGTTCCAAAAAAGGGTATTTCTTGGGAGCCTAGAACTTGGGTCCCAAAGACTCGGGGCCCCAAAGGCAGATGGTTACCCTGCCTATTGGTTAAATCCGGCCCTGCTTAGACATACCTAATATTTAATCTAATTTAAATGGGGATTCACTGTTGACAACAAAATGACCATCAAACGATATTGTTCCAGCGATAAGGCTTATCAATCTCTTTGTGGCATTCAACTATTTGTGAGATAAACAAAATATACAAACAGCTGTTTGTTTTACAATAAATTATCTATATTTAGTGCGCAGTTATAGTTATATATAAACTTATAAATAAAACAATGATGTTTTATTTAGTTTAGATATGATAAGGAGCAAAATTTTTCCCCGAGACTACACGTGGAAATTTAACTAATATCTGAAGGCGAAAAAAATTATTTGTTTGTTACTGCTTTACCAGTATTTATGTACATCATTTGCTTTTTTATACTAACGTAACACAGAGAACAAGGGGAGAAGGAGAACAAGGGAGCTATCTTTTAAAGTAAAACTGCGGCTAAAGTCAGACTGGTAAATATTGGTACATTGATCGAGCTAAAATTTCATTGTCACTTACTCTTTTTCAATCCCTCAATATGTAGATAAGCAACTACCAAGATAAATGCTTCCTGGTGTAATAAAACAGGCTGGATAAAATTCGAAGGGAGAATAGACGCAGAAGGGAACAGAAGAAGAATTTAACGAAATATTTTTTAATACCTTAAAGCGGGGTGAATATATGTATACGCAAAAAGGGTGAATAGGACGGCGAATTTCCTAATCTATTCACCCTGCTTCACGATATCAAAAATTAGTGCGTAAAATTCTCCGTCAAGACAAGATCAACCTGCCATTCAGATGCTAAAGAAAACCTTTACAATGGCTATAATTTAACTAAGTGTGGGAGAGCCATGCTTTGGCACAAATGGGTCGGCTCGACCGGAATGATACCACGGCCTCACAGAAAACCGGCGTGAAACAACCACAGTGTTGTGTTTCGCCGTGTGAGTGAGGTTACCGGAGGCCCAATCCTTCCCCAGTTCCTAAATCTCCAAATCCCTAATCCCTAAAAGGTCGGCAACGCACTCGTAACTCCTCCGTTGGGGGTGTCCATGGGCGGCGCTGATTGCTTACCATCAGGTAATCCATCTGCTCGTTTGCCGACCTATTACATAAAAAAAATTACCCTAATCTTCCCCATAATCGACTATGGTGACGTGCGCTACTGCGATCTCAGTTCGGACTTGCTCAACAAGGTTGATGGTCTTATGAAAAGCTGCATAAGTTTTGAGTTCAACTTGCGTAAGTACGATCATGTTTCAGGGAAAAGGTCTGAATCTGAAGTGGATGCCATCCGACCGAGAGGAGACCTTCCAGTATTAACAACCCTTTAGTCTATTCTTAACTCTCCTACTCCTCCCTCGTAAGTACCTAACACCTTTTTTTTACTTGGGACATTCTAAAAATCTTCGATCTTCTCACATTCTCCTTCTTCACTGTCCTTCTGCTCTGACACTGTCCACTCATCATTTCACATCCAATCTATCCTCCTATGGAATGGCCTGCCCTTGGAAATCAGGAAGTCAACGAACAATCAGTCTTTTCAAAGTCAGAGTTCGAAAGTGGATTTCGGAGGGAAAGTTGGCAGAATCTTCATCATTATAAACTATCCTATTTTATTTTATTGTATTATAAGTTTTGATGAATTACTTATTTAAATTTTCTTGTACTTTATTGCACCGACCACATTCTTCCTGCATCACCCAAAGGTTGGCTAGCGAGAATGCTTGTTGGCATTTAGCCCACCTGAGTACTTTGTGTATAAACTTGGATATAAATAAATAAAAAAGGTAGGTACCTAATTCTAAAGCTAAACTTTGACACGCAAATGAACAAACAATCAAACTATTCAGCTGTATTCATTGAGACTTCATATTATTATTCGCACTGCATTATATCTTTGACCGATATGATCTTTAAATATTATCAAAGGTCATACACATACGTTTAGTTGTTTTGTGACAAGACTAGAGCTATTCAACTAATAATAACTGTAGGTAGGTAAATATGACACCATAATTTTTATTTTATCTTTCAAGTGAACCCGAGTTAATTTAGACAACATTACGTCATAAAGAACAAATATAATTACTAATGATGTAGTTTAAATATTGATTAATTCAAAAAAATGTTATTATTTAATTGCCTTAGCGCTTGTAATTGTACCGGGTCAAGAGCGAGGGGAAACTTTTTGAACAATGACTGACATAAATTTTCTTAAAAGGCCTAAGTTATACCCATCATCTGGATTGATCTACTTATCCTATTCTATACTTAAAAAAAGATAAAAAAAACCTTTAAAAAAAAAATGTTGCACCACTCTCTAGATTTTTGTTGTGGGTCACACAAACAGTTGTTCCGTGCGGGCATGGAACCCGTGAAGTGTGCAGTCAAAAAAAAAAAATGTCATGTCGAAAATCGATCTAATCCTACAGATATTGGTTTGAGATATTAGAAATGACGTTTATGGTTTAGTTAGGAGTTAGATCATTTTATTCTAAGGACCAGTTACATCAGCAGAGAGTGAGTCCCAGTCTGGGGGTACAAGGTCAATGATGTTCCGTGGCACTACACGGAGTAGGGCAAGAAACGGGTTGGTTTTAAGCCAATAAGAGTCCGACATTCCCTCTGACCAGGCTTTTATGTACTATTTATTATATGGTCCGGGCTATCTTCTGTAGCTTTCGACGTTAAATGCCCTGTGACAAAATTGGCTTGCATAAACTTAGGGCTCATTTTTCAATAGCCAGATAAATATTTTCTAAAGAATAAAATTATTGCTGTCACTCTCTTATACAAACATTTTGACGTGACAGCATCATAATTATTCCCTAGGTAACTTTTATCTAACCATAAAAAAATCGGCCCTAAGAAATATAAAACTAATCGTTACAAGAATTATTTTTAGGGCACAAATATCCGCACTGAACAACCTTTGTCTGTTCAGTTTTGACAATCTGATGAAACACAGATCAGATGCAGAAAAAATAATTAACCAAACAATCACAGAAACACAAACCGTCACAGATTAGAGCCCGCGTCTTTCGCACAGCGTAGTATATCAATCCTTATGAGAGCCTGTCACTGCTTGAAATTAATCGAACGAAATCGTCAAAGAAAAAGTAAGCGGTAGGTAGTACCCAATTACTTGGGATGAGGACTTTATAAAAAGTATACGTATATACGTATAGCGTTTTACACAAGATCTGGCAAATTTTTGCAATGTATACCTATCGCTTGTTAAACAGAAAAGATACCTAACTCAAAAATGAGGATATTCCAAAATTGAACCTTATTATTGAAGCATAATTTTTAAGATGAAATACTTTATCTTTTGAGTTAGGTCTCTTTTCTGTTTAACAAGCGCTATGTAGTTTCATTTTCCTTACCTTCAAATCGCCGGGAAACTTTGCGACCAGTTGCTCGATGTACTCATAGATCTTGGGGTGCCGATAAATATTCGTACAGTGCCACAAAGTGTTTATTTGTTCTTGTAATGCGCCGACCACTTTACTGGAAACAAAAATAGACAAGTGTTATTACCCGCAAGAATTATTCGGCTCGATCGGCGTGATACCACGGCCTCACAGAAAACTGGCGTGAAACAACCAGAGCGTTGTGTTTCGTCGTGTGAATGAGGTTACCGGAGGCCCAATCCTTCCGTGTAAAAGTGCCGTTTTATGGCCTAAGGGCCTAAGTATATTTGCAAAAATAAATGCATTGTTTTATTGTTACAATAAAATTAATATATCTAAGTACCTGGAGCTGGAACATTTTAATGTGAAATAAACCAAAGTCGAAAATACGTAGTAGGTACATTCACGGTCGATGACCGTCACAGTATTGTTATTCGATATTCGATTAATATACGCGTTGGTAATGTTTACATATGCATAGATTTAAGTAGCATTTACATTTAGCTACAAGTCTATAGTCTATTGATTAAGGTGGTTTACTAAAGGTCTTTTAAAGTCTTTAAAGTTCTTTTAAGCTGTCTTTTATAATAGGTTTTTACCTATGAAATTGCCGTTTTGCATGAAAAAATTTAAACGAATTTTTTTATTTGAAATGCGATGAAAATGTAACCCTAATCAATAAACTAATGACTACTTTTGGAAAAAGAATCCCATGTTCTTAAAACAAAATTAATTAGCCTTACCCTAACAAAAACTATTTTGATTTGAAATGGCCAGTACTGCAGAACGGCAATTTCATAGGTAAAGACCTATTATTTCAAAGTCAAAGAATATATTTCAAATATACCACTATAGGCACTTTTGAACGTCAAACAAACAATAGATATCAAAAAGTTTGTGTCAGTCTGTCGGTCTGTCCTCTAGTAGGTATCTTTATTTGCTTGTTCCAAAGTGTAGATTCTAATCAATTCTAATGAAGAAGAACGAGCAAGAAACTCCATGGTTATCTACGCTTTTTTTTATCAATTTCACAATTCATTTTTGTAACATCATTCAGTCGATTCTATTGTAAGAGAACAGTGTAACACTTTTATCCAGTCAAGCATCGAAAAAAGAAATAACCTCAAGGTCAAATTTTCAGCCAGTCTCGGTTTGACCGGTCCCAATTGACGGCGACGTTCACTAACATGACACGTACACCAGCATCGCCCAACTCGACCATAATTATTATAGGGAATCGAGCGATCCAGTGCCCGAGAGCCAATGAGACCTCTAAGTTAGCATGACAACTCCCAGCTGACACAAGTACCTACCTATATTCTATTAGTCTAATATTTATAGGTTACAGGGCACTCACATTTACAACAACTTTGTTCATGAACATACACACACACACTCGTGCACGCACACACACACACAGGAACACAGAATCCCATGAACGACTTGTGTACTTTTGTCAATCTAAACAAAGACTGACTTAATCTTTCTTTTAAGAGGTTGTATAAAATATATGTGTACAAAGATTATTTAAATTTAGTTTATTAGCTAACATCGATTTAGGTAAATACCAGAATGTCATTTTTTTTCACATTGACAACTTTTAGATAAAAATCATCCCCATAAAAACTAACATCGTCTAAACGCATTGCAAACTCCTCCAAAGAAACAGACATCTTTCGACTGATGATATCAATGATAAATAACTTGATCAATTAACGAAGCGACGTTTGTTGGGTCATTTGTCGTACAACGACACTCGTGTCATGAATATAAGCCCCATGCGTCGCTTGGAAGTAATCAGGCAGGCCGCCGAAAAAGAGAATTAGATATTTTTCAATATTATGTCAGGCAGGCCGCCGAAAAAGAGAATTAGATATTTTTCAATATTATGACACTAGCTTTTGCCCGCGACTATGCTCGTGTGGAATAGTGACTACCTGCAGATTTTTTGTTTAAAAACTATCCTATGTCCTTTCTCGTGTTCCAAACTACGTCTGTACCAAATTTCACACACACAGGTTCAGTAGTTTAGGCGTGAAGAAAAGACAGGCAGACAGACAGCGTAACTTTCGCATTTATAATATTAGTTTGGATTAACAATCCGCCCTGCTCCACTTGCTTGCAAAGCTGATACTAAATGTCTTCATCTTCTCTTTAATGGATTTTATTATACAACATATTATAAAACTTTTTCTTCAATCATCCTATAAATAAAAAAAACCACATCAAAATCCGTTGCGTAGTTTTAAAGATTTAACTGTACATAGGGAAATAGGGACGGAGAAAGCGACTTTGTTTTATACCATGTAGGTACCTACATACTTAGTCGATGCTTGATTAGGTACATGCAAAACCAATTTAATTATTCAATATACTTACGGATGGCAATGTCCGACGGATACGGTGACGATGCCACCAAAAAGGTCCAGGTATCTTCTACCTTCGTGGTCGAAGAGCCACTGCTTGTGACCTTGGTGCAGTAAAAGAGGATTCTTGTAAATATTGTAGACTGCTGGTGGCATGTGCTTACTCTTCAGAACCTCGGTATTCTGAAATGCTGGACCCTAAAAAAGGATATTCTTGAAATAGGATAGTATTGAGACTGTTGGGCTTGAGTAGGCAAAATTCTTCACATTATGAGTTAAGGTTTGCTAAGCCGCATTGGCGATTTCAAAGTGGATCAACTAAAATTAGAAATTATAAGTCAATATTCCCGTTTATGATGTTACAGTTAACCGTTTGTAAGTAGTGTCGAAATAGTATTTGCGACGATACTTCAGTCACAATTTAAAAGACAACACAAGAACAGAAAACATTAAGTATAGCGATGTGTAGTCACAGTTTAGCCAAAATTTAATAGAATTGAATTTGAACTTTTCAAAAAAGCTATTGAATTTGTCTTGTAGTCTATTGTTATTATTCAAAGCTTAAATATAAATAAAATTCAGGGATTAAAATTATGAACACAAAAAAATATAATATAGGTACCAACAGACTCCTAAAAAACTAAACAAGTTTTTTTTTATTACGTGGAAATATGGCTATTTATTTACGGAGTACCTAGGCTGTTGGTTGCAAAGAGATTCTAATCGTACAAAGTTGTTAAAAAAATAATTGAAATACCTACATTGTAGGTAATTATTTACTTCTTCCCGTTTTCTTGTTCTCAAAGTATCTATAATCATACCTATATATAGAAGTATTTTCGATAGTTACACCGCTAACGTGATCACAATCATTAGTAGGTCACATTTTATTTAAATTGTTTTTTTCAATTTTACTACATACATATGTATGTGAAAATTTATGCGGATGCATGTAGCAAAAACTAAACAGTGAATCTGAACTGAATAAAATTTTATCACATAGATAGATTATTAGTACTTATTACTTAATTAATAAGAACACACAGCGTACCTACTTGAATGTTGGCGCGAGCGAAGTCACTGGCAGATACTAGTAAAGAATAAAATTAACTTACCGCATATTGTTTTGGTTTGAAGTCAGATTTTGGGAGAGTTGGCAACCTCGTGCTCTTGTTGCGGCTTTGCGGTTGCGGTTGGCAATATCGCCTTCCTAATGTTCTGAAGCTAAGTTTTGCAACTGGAATAAAGAAAAACAATTCAACAAGTTAAACATTAACATACTGCATTAGTTAATAAGCTTCTGAACCTCCTTCCTCACAGAAAATGAATGTAAAACTTCGCGCTTATTCAATTTCTGAATTCGAAAATTAAAATTTGAATTCAGAAATCTAAAAATAAAATTTATAAATAAAATTTGAATTAAAAAAATATTATAAAATAAAATATACATAGTTTTTGCTATTGAGTCAAATTAACTTTACTAAACCAGCACTCATTATTTTTTATTTAAATTTAGAAGAAACAAAAGTTTTTTTTATTGTCTTTTAGAATGCGTAAATTACTCGCTCGTACCTTTATCAGCCATCGTTTTGACTGCGCGACGGCTAACGTATTACTGAGTTAAAACGAAGTTGGACTGCCCCCCGTGAAACAAAACACACAACGTCTCATATCATAAAGCTCTATTTACATTGAATCAATATCAATGATAATTTATCGTATGCCTGGAAAACTTCGAATATAAATTTATAAATAAATATTAACAGTTTAGACTTGTGAAACCCCAGCCGGTAGTCAGAGAGAAATGGAATGGTGAAGTGTTGTGTAGTCAGTAAGTCTTTTTTTCGCCTTAGAGTTTGGCGAGAGGGAATGTCAGACTCTTATACTGACTAAAAACCTCCTCGATCCTTCTTCAACTTCAGGCCGAGGTCGCAGTAACCTTATTGCGCTTACAACCCTATGGCTATGGAGCAGAAGGAACAGAGTGATTTTAATCTGTCAGAGTCTAACAATCCTTCTCGCTCGCTCACCCAGAGAGGCAAGATTGACGAATTTTTCCCTTAAAAAAATGCGTTACTTCACGTCGGTGTTCTATCAGACCGGTAGATAAAACTGGTGGCTGGTCCCAACAGAAGTAGACTAGAATGAGTAGTCTAGGATGAGTTCTTTTATCTGCTTATTTTCCTTTATTCTTTGTAGAATGACTGAAGCCGCTCAAAGAATCCTACTAATATTCCAATATACCCCATACTTTTTTTTGTGAGGGGAAAATCATCGAATGACTTCTCCCGCCCAGGGCCGGGCGGAAGGGAGTGTCAGACTCTTACTGACTAAAAGTAAGAGAAGGGGGTTGACCTCGCCAGCGCTCTTCAGCCTGTACGTTAATCAGCTGATTGCCGAGCTCAGCAGTACACATGTCTGCTGTTGTATTGACGGTCTTTTTGTCAATAGTATTAGTTATGCGGACGACATGGTACTGCTGAGTCCCTCAGTCAGTGCACTCAGACGGTTATTGGCGGTCTGTGAGGCTTATGAAGAAAAGCACGGACTTGTGTATAATGTACAGAAAAGCAAATTGTTAGTTTTCAACGTGAGACACAAAAAGCCAGCCCACGTACCGCCAGTTACGATGAACGGTGTAATTGGGAACAGTCACCCTTTCGTTGTGAGCAAGATATAGGTTGACCCGTGTGACGCGACGCGGATGGTTAGTAAAGTTATAAATAAAAGCAAATTGTACTCGATGTACTTTAGCTATCGTATGTCATGACATTGCAAATTTGAAGGAAAATGAATAACGAATGAAGAACATTCAATTCGCTCAGAAATAATTTTGTTTACGTTCCTCCATGCGTATAGTGAGACGGGTAATGAAACATTTTGATACTTGTATTTCATTTAATATTAAAATATTTATAAGTACCTAGGTACTGATTCGAGATGCGCACCGGGAGAATCCAACAGTCCCTCAGTCTAGATGTGGAGCCAATCCAGTGTGTACAACAGTTTGCTTACCTTTGAAGCATTGTGTCGAAGGAGGGAGGAGCGGAAGAGGACTCTGCTGCTAGAGTGACCAAAGCACGGGCGACCTTTGCACAACTTCGACCCATAATAATATGGCGATCTCTTTGTTTGCCATATGGGTCGAAGTTGTTGAGCTGACTCGTAGAGTCAAGCTTAAAATCTTCCGATCCAACGTCAAGTCCGTCTTACTCTATAGGTGCGAAACGTGGAAGGTAACAAAGGATATCACTCAATCAATCCAGGTCTTCGTCAACCGCTGCCTTCGGCAAACTTGGCATTTTCTGGCCAGAGAAGATCATCATCAAACGAACGCTTGTGGGAGGCGTGCCGGGAAATGCCAATAGACAAGCAAATTACACGCCGAAAGTGGTCATGGATAAGGCACACTCTCAGGAGAAGTCCCACACACATACCGAGACAACGTAGACAACTACGTCCGAAATTAAGCACATAGCATTAAACCTTTTATCTTGCAGCGTTTGCTTATTTTGTTGTAAACGCGGATGTGCGAGTAAAAAGGGCAACGCCTAGCCAAGAGGCTGGTGACATTAGGAGGTGGAACGTATAATATGCGTTTAGAGAGAAGAATGTGGTAATCAGGTCTATGTTTTACAGCTGTGTGTGCACGAAGTGTGGCGTTGAGGATGTACAGGTTTCGTGCACGTAGTACAGGAAATTCGTTGTAAAGTGCGTCTGTTGAGTATCTAAATGGTTTCTTGAGCATCACTTTTATTACAGATCTTTGAGCTCTTTCTGTTTTGTCGTTTTTACATTAAGTGTAAGAAGATTTTTATCAAGAATACCAGCTACAGTATTGAGGCTTCTCTCAGTAAGCTGATATACATGACCTCAGGTTTTGTCGTGGAGAATAATAGCTGTATCATCTGCATATGAGATGATTTCAGCGTTAGGTATTGAAGCATTAAGTACGTCGTTCATATAGAAGGCGAAGAGAGTAGGGCCAAGAGTACTTCCCTGAGGAACGCCGAAATTAATTGGTATTAGGCCACTATTTTCGTCCCCCAAATGTTTCTAGCATTATGTCCTCCCATATGCAATTTTATATAAAGAATAAATAAATAAAACTCACACATCGACCAACCAAACATTGAGTATGTTTTGATATAACAAAAAAGTATCAAAATATGTTTATGCAAGGTCTAGATATTTTTATTTTAATCATAACTTTCATTTGCCCGTTCCCATTATTCGAACATAATTTTACTTAGGTATTTAAAAGATGAAGTACAACACAATAATGTAATGAATGAGTGACTAAGTAAGTAGGTACCTAAAAGAAAAAAATATAGCATGATGTCGTACGATAGTAGTCATATGGTACCTACAAGCGGGTAATGTTGATGATTGCCGAGCCGAGGACGGTAAACAACCATGAATACACACGTGTATCCAACGACGCTTTTCAACACACTTCTGGATAAAATAAAATAAAAAAAACATTTTCCATTGGCGTTTTCTGGTAGTAAACTTTCCGTTACCATGCACATCTTATATCGGGCGATGTACCTTCTTATTTTTTTTCTTTCATGGCATACGGCGACATTATAAATCCAGACGGACGGATTGGGTTTTAAGGCTAAGGGGATTCGTAATAATGCAAAGGGGGAGGGGGTCATGCGAAACATGGGTCGTACCGAAATATAGGTCTCATTCATTGATTTAAAGTGATGACTTTAAATATGTATACGCAGGACTCAATAAAAACCTATTTTTATTTTTTAAACTTGCAGCTGTAGATATCAAAAGCCTTGCAGTAGAAAACTGTGATCATAGGTGTGTAAGAGCCATGCTTCGGCACTATCGAGCAAATATCCAGTGGAGCGAGCAGCTGTACGTTTTTGTTTTAAAACAACATCGAGAAAATGTCCAAATATTATAATAATATGTTTGGCACGAATAGGCCGGCTCGACCAGAGAAATACCACGGCCTCATAGAATATCAGCTTGAAGCGTCACTTGCATTGCGTTTCGCCATGTGAGTGAGGTTACCGGGGGCTCAATCCTCAAATCCTCTATCCTTAAATTCCTACCTTTTCCCTTGCTTACCATCAGGTAATCCTTCTGCTTTTTCCGACCTATACAATAAGAATAAAAATCTAGATCAGAAACATTTAAGAGCAAATAGTTGTTCAAGTAACAACTTATTAATCTACGAAAACAAAGTTGACAAAACATTAAATGATATCACAGCGCAAGCCAAGTACTCGAGCGAGACAAGTGCTGGAGGCGAGGCGTGACCAATCACATCACTTATTGAAGCCAATGATCCAGTTTCCTTGACACTTCATTTATCAAATGTGCTATAGACTAATTGAAAAGTGGTTATGTATTTGATCCAATCGCTTGTGATATGTACGTTATATACCTACGTACCTAGCTATGTTTATTCTAAAGTGAATTTATTTAGACATACCGAGGACCCGGCTTTGACATGAAAAAGTAAGGAGGTGGTTTTTAGTCAGAAAAAGTCAAATCCCTAATAACCCGAAGACTAGAGGCCGGCAACTTACCTACTAGTTCACGGTAGTTACTCTTTTGGTATAGCGAGTATCCAAGGGCAACGCCGATGTCTGAAGAAAAGGATGACGATGACGTATTACTTGTTTGCCGACCTAAAGAAACAAGATATCGCGGTGATTAACACGCATTCTTTCTCCGTACAATAAGAACCATGACACCGCGATGCATACATATACAGGTGTGCCAGCTTTTGTTTTCTGATATTAAATTTAATAAATTTTTCAACACACTTTCTCATATAGTCGCTCTAATCCCAAGGCATATAATGTTAGGTACCTATAATCAAACTGTGACTTTTTTATTGCTATTATTCACAAGCGAGTAACAAAGATTTTTTATATTATTGGTTCATTTACGTTGACACTTGCGCTAAAGTGGTATCCGCCAAAAAATGAAACCTCATTTATTAGTCTATGGCCGATGCGAGTACACAGGAAATCTGATTAAATTTTCCCGCCATTATGAAACTGTTCACGTTTTCAATAATCGTCTCGTTTTCTCTTGTGATGTGTTTTTGTTGAAGTATAATTTTATTCAGAAGTGTTAAAAAACATTAACTCGTCGAGCGCTCGTCTAGTCAACATCTCCTGAGGATGCCCTGTGGAGGGGCGAAACACGTGTCGAGTATAGGTTTGATTGCGTGGCATGTTTTTCCGTTTTGTGTATGTGTGCATATGCATGTTACCCTTGCTGCATGTGCATATGCATGATTGCATAGGAGTGGGATTGCATCCTGCAACAAGCCTGGATTTTTGTCGCGGAATTAAAACTAAATATTTTTCCTAACATTTAATTAAAAAACATGGTCTGATACTCGTGTGTTGATGATTGACTTCCTAAACAACAACTTTACACACTTGTACCATAATGTAATGTAGGTACCTACCTACTTAAATTCGATGAAATTGAGAATATCAAATAAGTAAATTGCAGTTCATGTATTAGGTACCCTAGTTTGGTTCACTCAGAACTAGGTAGACTGATTTGACCAATTTTGGTTAATTAATTCGACCATTAAGAAGTTGATGATGTGGACGTAGCTCGATGTTTTGATTGGCTTTTTTACCAGTAATCTTCTTAACTGGGCGGCATGGTCACAAAGAAGAC